TTTAGCTCCTGCAGCATCCCATGCAGACTCCAATCCTTTCCTGCAGCGGAAACAATTTATATGGGGGTGCTGGAGATGAGAAAGTATTGCCCCGTGGGACTTGTCTCTAAGTAGAAAATTAACTGGCCTCAGACAACTGTCAGAGGATAAGATGGAGATGATTGTTTTTATTAAGTTTCTGCATTAATAATATTGCAAATGAACTCAAGTTTCCTCTGAGAGCAGCAACCAAGGACTGTGCAGTGGAACCCAAACTGGACTTTTCGTCAAATGAGAGCTTTCTTAGTGTCTGCCTCTCCACCTGCAGAGATGCCAACATTTCAAAGCTATGCATAGGTGAGTGCTAAGAACCATAGACTCACCTGTAGATTTAACAGAAAGATACCAGCAATCATGCCACTTCATGAAAGTTACATATGGATTGTTTGGAAGTAAAGAAACCTTTTTACCATTTAAGAAAGCCTTTTGGTGTGATTCTGACAGATTCAGGTTCAAGTGACAGCCTCTTAACTACATCCATTGCTTAATGCTGACCTTCATCCAGATACACAACAGGTTTAAGACAGAGCAAGTTTGCTTGAAAATATAAGAGAGCTGATTTCTGGCATGCCTTTGGTCATCGTTTTGATTTTGTTGCATTTAAGGATTTAAGAAGCATTTTATTTTCTTGTTTGCATCACAAAAGGCTGTATTTTTCTAATTTTTGAGGTGTTTGAAGTAAAGGAGAGAAGAAAAAGGCTTGAGTTTTTAAAGGGACATTATCCCTCTTCTGGAAAGGCAAAAAGGACCAATTGAGCTGTGCCTCCATCGCTTCTATTACTCTATGGAGGGGAGTAACCATACTGACTAATCCCCAGAAGAATTTCCTCTTGATTTGAGAAGGAGAAGGCAGGCAACATTGCAGAAATGACTGCTGGCCTAAGTTTTATCTGAAGCAGTGGGGATTATCTGCATATGCCTGAGGGATTTGGGAAGTGGGAGGAGGTCACTACAAGCAGCAGAAAAGTCAGATTTCAACATCTACATAAATCTACATTCTCTTCCTTCTTATTGTATATCACCATAGTAGTGACCTGCGAAGGGTGTGCAATGTTTGTTTTTGGCCCTGACACTAACATGGTGTATACCTGCATTGGAAGTGGGGGTGCAAATGCTTGAGTGACAGGTGTCCACCCCCCAAGGAATAAGGGAAAGTGAAGAGTTCTTGGGCAGAACAGTGGAACTGCAAGAGCCATAAGAAGCACCAGAGACAGAGGAGCAGCAGCAGCTTGAAGCAGAGGTGGAGAATGCCAAGCTGAGGGATGCCAGTGAAGAGGAAACTCCCTGGAGAAGGAGAAGGGTAGCAGGAGCAAACCAGACACTCCGCTCGAGTGGAACCCCCATCTCTGTGACTGCTTTCAGCCGCTGGGGGATGAGACCAGTAGAAAGCTTGCTGGGGAAGAATTACAAGAGAGCCTGTGCTGTAGGGAGCAGGATGCAGAAAGACCACTGACCAAGGAAAAGAAAAACCATCATTGTGGGAGACGGCTTGCTGCATGGCATGGAAACCCGAGTGTGTCACGATGACCCGTGGATTTGCCAGGTGTGCTGTCTCCCTGGCGTTCAGATTAGCGATGTGACTGAAAGATTGCCAAAACTCAGAAACCCTCAGACCCTTCTTCTAATCCAGATGGGAACAAATGATACCGCCAAACCCTAACCCTATTTATTTAGAACTCAGAGGGGCCACCCAAAAATGAGGCAGTGTTTTTTTACATACCTTCATATGTGTAAATACATATTTGATACTCGGTTTGGGGTACCTCTTGACCCACCTTTGGCCTGTTGTTTGTTTCATGTCTATATCACCTCCACATCCAAAGCTCTCTGGGCAGTTTACAACAATCCGTAAAACAGATTGTAAAATATAATAAAAATGCAGTTCATCAGCTTTAATCATTCCTAGAACTTAGTTGCTAGAATTTTTATTTGTTCAACCAGAATATTCATATTAAAGGTAAAGGTTTCCCCTTGACATTAAAGCCCAGTCATGTCTGACTCTCTCCTTCATGGATCACTGCCTTGTCATGGCGAAGGGGCTGGTATAGCTCAATGAAGCTATGAGCTATGCCATGCAGAGCCACCCAAGACAGACAGGTCATAGCAGAGAACTCTGACAAAACATGATCCACTGGAGAAGGAAATGGCAACCCACTCCAGTATCTTTGCCATGAAAACCCCATGGACAGGACCAAAACAGTGGCCACAGGATTGGAAAAGGTCAGTTTACATTCCAGTCCCAAAGAAGGGCAATGCCAAAGAATGTTCAAACTGCTGCACCATTGCTCTCATTTCACATGCTAGCAAAGTGATGCTCAAAATCCCACAAGCTAGGCTCCAGCAGTATGTGGATCGAGAACTACCAGAAGTACAGGCAGGATTTCGAAGAGGGAGAGGAACTAGAGATCAAATTGCCAACATACGCTGGATCATGGAGAAAGCTAGGGAGTTCCAGAAAAACATCTACTTCTGCTTCATTGACTATGCTAAAGCCTTTGACTGTGTTGATCACAACAAATTGTGGCAAGTTCTTAAAGAGATGGGAGTACCAGACGCTTACTCCTGGGGAGGAAAACTATGGCAAATCTAGACAGCATACAAAAAAGCAGAGACATCACCCTGCCAACAAAAGTGCATATAGTCAAGGCTATGGTTTTCCCAGTTGCAGCATATGGCTGTGAAAGCTGGACCATAAGGAAGGCTGAGTGCCAAAGGATTGAGGCCTTTGAATTGTGGTGCTGGAGGAGACTCCTGCGAGTCCCTTGGACCGCGGGGTGATCAAACCGGTCAGTCCTAGAGGAGATCAATCCTGACTGCTCTTTATAAGGCCAGATGCTGAAGATGAAACTCAAGTACTTTGGCCACCTAATGAGAAGGAAGGACTCCCTGGAGAAGAGCCTGATGCTGGGAACAATAGATGGCAAAAGAAGGAGGGGATGGCAGAGGATGAGGTGGCAGGATGGAGTCACTGAAGCAGTCACTGAGCTTGAGTGGACTCCAGGGGATGGTGGAGGACAGAAGGGCCTGGAGGAGTGTTGTCCATGGGGTTGTGATGGGTTGGACACGACTTCACGACTAACAACAACAACATTTCTGACTCTCAGGGGTGGTGCTCATCTCCGTTTCCTAACCAAGGGAGCCAGCGTTGTCCGCAGACAGTCTCCGTGCTCATGTGGCCGGCATGACTAAACACCAAAGTGCACGGAATGCTGTTACCTGCCCACCGATGTGGTACCTTTTTATCTACTTGCATTTGCATGCTTTTGAACTGCAAGGTCGGCAGGAGGTGGGACAGAGCAATGGGAACTCACCCCGTTGTGCAGATTTGAACCAGCAACCTTTTGATCAACCAGCCCAGCAGCACAGCAGTTTAAACCACTGTGCCACCCGCATCAAATTATGCCAGTTTCTGATTTGCTTCTGAATTTGATTTTAGGTCCTGGTGGTTTTATTTAAAACCCCAAATGAATTGAGGCAGAAATACTTGGAGGAGCTGCTCTGCGTTACCCCAGAGAGGCTTGCTTGAGTGGGCCCTGCAGTCGGTGGTGCTGAGTTCAGTCCTTCCTAATGGCTCAGGAATTTTAGAGGAGAATTGCTCTGTTTCTCCTCTGATTTTGTTTCGGGTGCTTAGATTGTTGTTTAAATTGGCTGTATTTTATTGTGTTTATATCCTGTTTACATACATTGTTTGTGCAAATAAACATCTAATGCGCACGTACGTCACTTTGAATCTTCAATGAGGTAAGATGGCCTAGTTGTGATAGGCACAGATGGAGCTGCCTTCCACTGGAGTAATGCCACCAGTTGCATGTCTTTATCTGAATGAACTAATGCTCCATTTGACTCTGAGTCAGTAAGTGCTGCGGGCTTGGTCAATAAGAGCTCTGCGGGGCATTGTTGATGTGCCCTGGAGGAATACAGTGGCTGGCTTCTCTGAATGGAGGGAATATGGAGCGGTTCCATGGCATGTGTCAATGGGGCTGACTGGCATCCTTCTCAAACTTTCTCGCACTAATAAGACAAATGTCTAGGAAAGCGGCAGTCATAGATGTGGGTGTCTGGGAAAATAGATTTCTCCTACATTTTTTCTTCGAAATCTTTTCTTGTGAATATTTTCTTATTCAGAACATTGAAATAAATATTTTAAGACTCTTAAAATAATATTGTTACAGCCAGTAATTCTGCTGCAAAGTTTTTACATTTAAGGTTCAAAGGTGCCAGTGTCACTAGATGAGTGGCAAGTCTTCCATAGAAAGACTTCTTGCCTGCCCTGCTGGTGACCCCAGCCTGGAGCTTTAGATTGTTGTTCCAGCAGCCGGACCTTTGTTCTGAGACATCAGGTTGTGCCTGGAGAGGTGCAGACCTACATATATGTAGCCACTGTCATCTGAGGAAAGGGAAAGACCGGGAAGAGAAGCCTGAATGGTTTGCTGAATTGTGGCCATATTTACAGTGGTGATCACAGGGTATAGAAATGGGCTTTTTTGTAGTGACTAGGGGAAGGATTCAAGTCAGACCTAAAATGTTTCAGATTTTTTTGTGAAAAATGTGGAAGTCAGAGGAATTAATCTTCTCTACCTTTATGCCTTTGGAACAGAATTATGGGATTAAGCTGTATTGTCTTTAGTTTGTTGCTTGTTATGAAGAAATTGTGAATTGTGACCAGCTTTTTAGGTATAATGAAATACCTTGCTGTGTTTTTTTCAAGGGAACAATTTGCATCCTGGCTGATTGAAGCAGAGCAGGAAAAATGCAGAATCGGAGTGATTACAGGAGCATGTTCTGCAGTGCTAAGAGCACACAAGCAGGGGCGGTCTCTGGCTGTCACTTTAAAAAAAATGACCTGCTTGTTGGAGGAGGGGCAGTTCCCTGAGAATCAGGTGCATGTCTCTAGCGATGATGTCATCTTTCCAAGTAGGCCTGCTTGAGAGAGACCGATGCAGAGGCAGGAACGGTTTTCTAATTGCAGATATCCAGCTGTGAGGAGTAAGAATGGATGGAGCCCAGGCTGTTTGTAAGTATTTAACATATTGCTGGAATCCTCTGTGGTGTATGGGACAGTGTTGCTGTGCACAGGTAATACAGAGAGCATGATTCTTATGTGAGGACTCGAAAAAGGTGGTGTGAGTTTAAAAGGTTTTTAAAATTCCTAATTTCCTGGGTTTAGGGGCATCATTTCATAGGTTTTCAAGACATTAAGTACTCTGTGTTCAGTTTTGGAAAAGCATACGTTGCGTGGCTTTTGAGGAATGCTGTCTGCTTCCTTCTCAGAGGAGTGTTGTCGCATTCCCATGGGGGATAATGTCATCATGTGCACCATGGGAAATATTCTCAGTCCTCAGAAACTTCCTGCCGAATGGCAGGCTTTCTTTTTCTTTTTGGTTCTGGCTTGTGAGTGATACTAGTATATGCAAGAGTGATGAGGCCAAGTAAAGTTAGGGACCAGGCTTTAGTTACAGTTTTAACAATATTACCTACAAACCAGTTTTATGATCTGGACATAGTTGTTGGTCTATACTGATATAATATAGTGTTATACCAGAACACAGTACATGAGAGAATGGATAAAGAGTTTCTCAGTATGCTGTTAACTGAAAGTGAGTTTCATAGTAATTGGTTGACTGTCGTGTCCACCGTTTCCTTGCTTCTGCTTGAAGAAGGCCTCAACAGACTCCTTGGGCATTCAGACATGCGAACGGAGCACTTGTGCCTTCTAGGAAGCATAGAGCTGTCATGTCAGATGGAAATTGGCCTAAGACAGAATCTAGAAGGATGACAATTGTAGCATCTGGCCACACTGAGTGTTTATTCGCTCTGACACTGGCACATCTCAGGAGGAAGTGCGATGTTTACTTTTGAGGGAAGGGTTATTGCTGTAGCTTGGGAGTGGGGAAGTCAATGAGTCATTGTGTTGAAATACTAATTTATTGGCTATTTCAGAACAGGTCCTTTTGTGTGCGTCTGCTGGAATTTTTGGTGTCAGTAGTATAGTCCAGTGTGCTACTAAATGTACCTACTATTCAAATCTCTTGGGAGAGTCAAAACAGAGGCTGGTTTCATATCTCATGGCAAGCGACACTGCATGGTTTCTATAGTGTTTGGTGTATTTGCCTGGCTGTGCCTGGCAGATGATTAAGTGGTTTCTACTCTAGCATGGTTCCCCCTCCTCTCTCAGTCCTCCCATTGTTGGCACCTAACCCATTAGCCACTGTGCCTAAAATTCAGCCCCACACTGGATGGGTAGAGCTGCTTGTGCAGCTGCTGCTCTTTCCAGGCCCTCTGTGGTTGTTACATGCCAGGTCTGTGGGAACCATCATGACACGTTTGGACATTCAGAAAACCCATGCTGAGGCCTGGAAACCGTAGAACAGACCATTGTTTCTTATAGTAGTTTCTAAAAATCTAATGTACTGTGCTAAAACACCACAGCAGGGTTCAGATGACACAGCAGAACATCCTGCACAGGAAACCACCGTGGCTTTTTGTGTGGACTTACTCAGAGTTATAGGTTAAGGGTGAAGCACAACAATGAGCAGCCATCTGAGAGGGATGGTGTAAATTGGTGTCCTGCAAAAAGCAGGATGTTGGACCCAGTGACTTCCTTGGCCACTTCCAGTCCCACTATTCTAAGATTCTATGAAAATGTAGACCAAAATGGCATTCCTGGGTGAATATTTGTTGGGCCAGAAGAACATAGCAGGTCTGGGGCTTATATTGCAGGTGATTGGTTCCTCCACATCTCCTGACTCCTTGGCCAGAAGGGTTCTGCTGGGATTGCTGTTCTGATAGTGCCGTCAGCAGGGGAGCGGGAGCTTGACTCCTTGTTCAAGTTACATGGTGCATGACAAGGACATTGTGCTTGAGTCCTGGAATTAAGGTAAAAAAAGAAAGAAAAGGAAAAAAGTGCTGCTCACTCGAGCGCAGATGAGGGTGAAAATGACGCCAGCTGCCAAACTGAGGAGATCCAGACAATGGGCATACAGTAGAATATGGTAGCCAGTCAAAAGGTGCCAGTCGACCCTGGTGGGTGGGGGGAAGCAGTGTCAGGAACAACATTTTCAGAGAGATTGGTGTTCCTGTGCCAATGCTTAAAAGTCTCCGAGCCGAGATTTGGAGTGCTGGTTTCAAAGGAACATGCACACACAGGCTGGGTTTACATGGCATGGCAGCCCACGCTGAGTTGCTGTGTTATTCGAACGTGGGTGACTGCCCCCGTTGTGGACGCTGAGAATTATCCAGCAAGCCGTCTGGCAGGACTGTCAAGACGCCCTTGCTGCTTTTGCCTGGGTACGTGACTGGGGCAGCTGGCAGCAGGGCTGGAGAGTCAGAGACGAAGTTGGTAAACACTTCTAATGCATTTCAGTAACCTTTCGACCCAAACTTTAACAGGTTATGGTTCTGAAAAGTAGCCTGAGGATTCACATTGACAGTGATGAAATGCCTTGTAGGTTGAATGCTTTCAATCAGTGTAGGAAATAAATAGACTAATCATTTATTTCTATATTGATATATAAATAAATGAGTTGGAGGAGTCGAAGGTACCATAAATTGAGGAGTCGGAGGTTTTATGTACCAGCTCCACAGCCCGTGACTGGCAGTGCTCTGCCACCCTCCCTGCCACACTTTTGCCTGGCATTTTTGACTGGCTTTGGGTTTCCTTCCCATCACCCTTTTCCTCAGAGACTGTGAATTCTGGCTTGACAGACGCCTTTCATGATCCTATTTTGATGGCTACTGACAGCCCCTTTAAAGTGCCCATGTGTCAGCTTGGAGAAGCTGTAAGAGGTTGACACATTTTTTTAAAAACGGCACACATGGGGTATGAAGAAAATAATGTAATTTAAAAAAGGCTGCACTAACATTGTGCGAGTGTAGAAATCAGGACCTTCCGTGGGCAGCGTTGGCATGGTGCCTGCTGCCGGAGTGCACTGATAGCGACCCCAAGGATCGGCCCACAGAGGACCCACGTGGGCTTTTCGCTTCCGTTGGCTTTCTCCTGGCAGTTTCCGATAGGTAGGCTGAGAAAGTAGGGCAGACGTGCGAGTGATCGCTGCTCCTGGAAAGGAGGGGGCAGCTGGGGTGATGCCCTTTCCCCAAAACCCCAAGATGTGAGAACTCTGGGTTTCCCTTTAGAAGGAGTTTCCAGCCCCAAATTGCTGTGGTGGGCTGGCAGGAGATTGCATCCAAAGAGGCAGTCAATTACTTCCATTCCAAATGGTTTCACTGGCAGCTGCATGCATGTTCAGAGCTTCATTTGGGTGATTGTGCTTCTGGAAACTGCTTTGGTCAGTACAAAACTTTTTGCAAGAAAGGACTGTGGTGTTGAATGCGTGAAAGGAGGAAACCTCACTTCTGACAGATAGAATTCCAAGATCCATGGCCTGTTGAGGACGGGTAATAGGATATCAGTTGCAAATGAAAAGGGGAAGTGGAGGTAGGGAGGGTTGGCCTAACAGACTTTGCAGCTGGATGCCTTCCAGGGTCCTGGAGATGGCTCCAAGAGCTTGATGAATTCATGCTGGGAGGTTAGCTCTCCAGATTGACCGTGGGATTTGCCCAGGATGCTTGACTGGACTTGGCTGAAATAAGGCATTGCAGAAATGGGCCGTGGCCCAGGTTACTGTCTCTAGACAGAGGGCTCTCAACCCCAAAAATACACTGGGCGTATGAGCTTGTATGGCAGAATCGTTTCCTGAGCGAGTGACATGGCATTCAACCTCTATTGCTCTCTTAAGAAAACACAAACCTCCTCATTTTCTGTCAGGACACTCAAGTGCCCTTTCTACTGTGTTAATAAAGTGGACCATTATCCTTACTGATCCGTAATCCATAGTTGCAGTTCAGATTTTTGTGCACGAGGCTTCTCATGTCTCCCGCTCCCAGAAAGGGGCATCCCTGTGGTGAGTAATTGCCTACTGTCTTCCAGATCTGGGCGGCAGAGTAGTACTCTGGGTTGGTTTGCTCCATGGATCCAAAGCTGAAATGCTCTGATTTGGAGAGGGTCAATAGCGGACCATCCCCACACATTGGTCAAAGGACAACCGACCAGACAGTCCTGTGGGGTGGATTTCTCATCCAGTCAGTGCATGGGCTGGCCCTAGCGCAAAGGAATTTTCCCAGTCCGATTCTCCTTTGGAAACCTCTTCAAGGTGAACGCGTGAGGTGCTTCTCAGGGCAGTACTTCCTCCCTTCTGATAAATTAATGCACAGATGACCATACAACACTTTCTAGTTTTCGTTGGGCTGAAGCGTTCTGGGATGTGATTCCTGATAGCATTCTGTTACCCCGTACTGGGAAAGCTGCTTCCTTCTCCTCAACGGTCCCTTCCCAAGCCTGAGTGTCTGGCCGGCAGCCACCTTGTTCTGAAAGGCAAATTGCAGCAGCCACGCTTGTGAATGAGCGGGGGGCCGGGGGCCAATGCTCATCATTAGTGGGCTCAGGCTTTGCCAGGGCTCTCTTGATTCAACCCACTGCCTTTGGTTCACTTTTCCCTGCATCCTCCTTGTCCTGCCTTGTCTTGTGTGAACTCATTTGGGTGACCAAGCTTGTCTAGCTAGTTTTGTGGTCAATTTCAGGCCCTGTGGTAAGGGGGATTTTACCACTATCTGGTTTAGGCATGTTATATAGCAAAATTGTCATCACCTAGATGTTTGCATCTAGGAACATAGGACAGCGTGGTATGTGGAAAAAACAAACAAATCTAGGAGCTATGAAGAAGAAAGTGTTCATTTTCTGAGCATAGAATCAAAGAATACTAGAGTTGGAAGGGGCCGAAAAGGCCATCAGGTCCAACTCCCTGCTCCTGCAGGACATGGACTTGCACCATCCCACTCAGATGATGGTCCAGTCACCTCTTGAATGCTGAGTGTAGGGAAACCAGTACTTCATGGGATTTGGAAGTGATACTTCCGTTAATGCAGCTTAAAATAACATTTACCCTTTTTGCAGCTATGTCACATTGTAGGCTCATATTTAGCTTGTGATCCATAACAACTGCATTTGCAATATTGTTGCGCCAAGCATTCTCCACCTTGTAGTTAATCATTTGGTTCCCCCCCCGCCCCCCCCCGGTGCAGAAGTTGCCGTTTGTCCCTATCACATTTCATTCTGTTGCTCTCAGCCCAGCATTGTAACCTATCGAGATCAGCCTTGCTCTTTCCTCTCTCTTCCAGGGTATTGGCTGTCCCACCCAGTTTTGTGTCATCTGCCAATTCCATAATCGCTCCCTGTACCTCCTTATTTATGTCATTAATGAAAATGTTGGAGAGTGCTGGGCCCAGACAGAAGCCTGAGGCACCCCACTTGGCACCTCTCCAGTGCCACGCTGATAGTTGCCAGATGCCCACCTACGTCACTGCTGGTTTTGGTGAGCTGGTTCTTGTTGGCCCAGTTAGCTGGTGAATGTCGATCTGCTTTTTCCTTGGATGCACATTGTTTGCAGCCAAGATTGGATGGCCTGACACACACACCTGATGACAACCCATGGTGGGTTTGTTGCTTCCCCCCCTCTTCCTCCTCATTTCTCCAAGGTCGTATCCCAGGAGATGCTGCAAGGAGGAGCAAGCCTCTGTCCTCCGGCAGCCGTGTGACTGCTGCGCAACCGCCCACCTGCGCTCCCAGCCCACTCTGGTTTATTTTGCCCGCCACACCAGGACTAGCTGCTCTCCTTGGGCTGGCAGCGCCTCACACTCCCAGGCCGGAATAACAGGCTGAGCCGCAGCCCAAGTGACTCCAGGATGGAGCCGCCTCGCTGCTCACACTTCTGTGACTGAGGGGACAGGCTGCCTATGGGTCCTACCGAGCCAAATTAAATGGATGCATGCTAATTAGGAAGAGATCTAGATAGTTACAGTCTCAGTTGTTTCTCAGTGTGATTCCTATTTGTTTCTTTAGGCTTATTCATTTTTAATTATACACTTTGTTTAGCAGATTGTTCTCAATATGCTCACACCTTGTTCTTGATTGAAAAGCAATCAAAATAGCTAAAGTGCCATTCTTTGAATTACTGTGTTACAAGTGAATAGGACACCAAACAGGAAAATTATAAGTGTTGAGGAGCAAAATGAGCCAACTCTTTCCCATTTGCTATGCTGCCACGAGACACTCTTCCAATAATATAGCTCTTAGTGCAGGTTACAGATCGATACCTTCCCCCACGCACATCCTTCGGTTTAATCTAAAAGACTGGACAGATAAGGAAAGGCAATGGTGAGAGGGGAGAAGGCAAGGCGCTGAAGCCGGCCCTCCCGACAGGTTGCCACTGAGTGTTAGGTGACCCGCCAAACCAGGGTAGTACATGGCACGGAGGGTGGCTGAATTGGTAAAAATCAGGAGCTATGACTTATGCTAGTTGTGCTACCATAGGGTGCAACATGATAGTCTCGTTGCAATCATAACTGATATTTTTCCATAAATAAATTTGTTTCCTTCTGTCTGAAATGAAAACAATTAGATCTGGAATCCAATCATTCTGTGTTATTCACTTAGTCCAGTTTGCAATCTTATTTTCTTTTTTTTTCCGGAATAGAGTTTATTCTTACAGTAAAAGCACTCCTCCCTGTACTTCTGAAAGGTCAAAGTTGCAAGGTACAGTCTTATGAAATGAGGTGTGAGGCAGGGGAGGTGAAACAGACATACCCTGCTCCTTTATTGTCTAATCATAGTTTATGTCTCTGTGTATGATTCTACATGGCTTTGATCCTGTCTCCTTTTTAGCATACTTGCAATTTTTTTAAAGTCTGGTAAGCAACTAGAGCTCGCTGAATTCATTGCGTCAAGAGTTCCTTGGAACGGCTTTGCAGAGAGCAGCACGGGCCCTGCTCCGCCACCGTTCCTGCACGCCCAGTGCCGAAGAATGCTGGGGAGCCTGCTTGCTAGCCTAGTGCAGCGTTCTCTAAAGGAGCGCTGATGAGCAGTCAGGGCACTGAGAACAAGGAATGGCATGTCCAGTTTCTGAATTACACCTTCCTGCTTTACAGGTTTCTTATGACTTAATATTTGCATGCTATGATTCTCAGATAAGTGAAATTAAAGGGCAGATACTCAGTGGAAAATAATGGTTGACGCTTACACTGAGCTTGCACCCGTGTGTTTTGTAAACTGTGTTCTAGATGCAAATGAGAAGAATGGCTCTTACTTAGGCAACCAGAGATTTGGAAGCGAAGGTTAGTCTCCACATGTTTTCTGCCTGGTCTCCAGCAAGAGACTCCAGGTCTATGAACGGGCAAACCCACACCGTTTTACTCTTCAGACATTTTATGAATTACGGCCCTAGTAAATTATTAGTAGATTTATTCCTTATAATGGACATGGATAACACCTTCAACTTCCATGAAAAAAGAAAAAGCCAAAAATGCATAATACTTTTTCAGGGCTATATGTTTGATAATTTCTGCCCAATTAGCACGGAAGAGAGCTTAAATTTCCTTGGAAAATACCATATATTGAAATAAATTTTGAGAGCATCCCTGGAAGCATGACAAACAATGAAAAAGCACACATAGGAAATACTAATTTTCAGATTTCACTTATGGTTAAGATTGTTCAAAGAGGGCATCTGTCTTCTGAATGTTGCACATAATTTCCCCAATGAAGCTTGTTACCTGCCACTGAGCAGTAGCTGATTGTCTCCACTGAGGTACCTTCCTGATCACTGCCTGTGCTGGGGGAGAATGCACACAGCGGTCCTGCTCGCTGCCGCTCTCTTGCCACCAGCAAGGGGTGGCCTGCTGTGTCAAGCTGCACGTCAGAGGGCAAAAGGAGGCACTGGAGGGCCCAGTGGGCCAGTCCTTCGCCGTGGAATTTGCTGCGGTGTGGAAGTGGAACCAGCGGGGCCGCTGAGGGGGCAACTGCCCCAGAGAGCCCCACCAGGCCTGCTTTTCCGCTGTGGCAGGGGCCACATCAGGAGAGCAGCTGAAGAGAGCAGCTCTGCAGAGCATCCGCCGGAAGCGAGGGGCGGGGTGCATTGTAAGATGCCCTCCATTTGTGTTGCCAGGTGCTCTTCCATGGTTTGCTCATTCACAGAACAGGATTTTGCACAAATCTGAAGTCCTGAAAATGGGCAAATCCCCCACGTACGCAAAGGGCTGGAATTTGTCTATCTTTGTGCTTTAGCCTATGGGGAAATGCACGTTTCAGTGGATTGTTTTAAAAATCACACTTTCCATGCTAACTTTGTGTAAAATTATGGAGAATTAAAAAATGGTCCTTGAGTCTGCAGAATCTGCTCTGTTTGGGAAAGGGCTGGATCACAGAGACTTTCAGTTATACCTTTGTGATGCTCTGATCAGTAACCCTCCTGAGCAAAGTAATAATTCCTGCCACCACCTGGCCCCCGTTCTGTGGTCTTAGTCTCTTGAATAGAGGCGTATCATGAGTTTTGTCTGTGGACTTCATGCATATTTTAAAGACTGGGGCATCGGAATTGCATACATATGCATTCAAATGCGCACATGCACAAATTTGGCTTCACATAACAAGCAGTACTTCAGAATTTTAAAAAAACTCTGAAAGAATCTCAGCCTGCCCTCCCTTCTGTGGTTAGTAATGCTGTAGGAGTCTCCTCTGAAATGAAAAATTAAATAGGTATTTGTAATTTATTTATAAATTACTTCACTACTTTGAGACACACAAAGATTATGAAATATTTATTTTATAAAGCTGTGTGTAGCTTTTCCTGTTATACCAGGGAACCCAAGTTTTCTGCTGTGGGCGTCTGGATAGGGCCCATTGTGGTGATTCTCCTTGGCTGCAGCGGTTCAACTTTGATGGGGATTTTGTTTTGCTGTGTTTTTACTGCTTCCGAGTTTCTGGTAGGAGGTGAGGCACTGCTGATCTTGGCAGAGCAGAACAAAACCAAGTGAGTAATTAAGTGATGCAAGCCTTTGATTCTCTCTCTCTCTCTCTCTCTCTGGCACAGCTAGGCGTTCCACTTGCATGAGAAGAAGCGGTAGAAGGCACCACTCAAGAGCTGCACAGAAAGTTAAGAGAACTTCAGGAAGACCTTTCCTGCTCAAATTAAAGAACTCTCTTCTGGGATGTTTCCTTTGCTCTGCTTATAGTCACGCAATGGTCCATATCGGCACCTTACCAGGAAACTGCTGAGAAGAAGCAGGAAGGGTTTTGGATTTTACTTATTAGGTTCTGTCATCCATCTAAGAAGATTACAGAAGAACAGAATGATACTTTCACTTGTTTTCAACCTTTTTTGAGCTTCCAGCAATCCGCAGAAATGTTCCACTGAATTTTCTTTAGACCAAAGGATGATATAGTACCAAAACTGCTCTTGAAAGACCATGGATTCTTTGACTTTGCTTTTCATCTTTTCAGAGATGAAGGGAGGTGTTTCCCTATGTCAGCTGTAGATTTATTGCAACAGAATTGCATGGATTTAAAGAAAAACAGTTGCAAATGATTTCATGAAGTACCAGTGAGCAATCTGGAGAATTAATTTGTTTTAGCACTTAGTTCTGATTTTGAATTAAGGAGAAGTTGGTTTAAATCAGACACAGACAGAAAATCTGAACACTGTACATCTACATGTGAAAGATGTCTTGGAAGAGGAATTACTTTTCTGTGGGACGGGGCAGTGTGCAAGGCATGTTCACGCCACGTAATACAACATCTATAGCACCAAGTAAAGGTCTCAGCAATGAGCCAGGACAGAACAGCTGCTTTCTGAATAGTGCATTACAGGTAAGAACTTTCTGTTTGATGCTTTTCTTCAAGACCATCTTAACAGTGCATTACAATACAAATCTGTTGGAACCTTTTATAAGTGCATACCCTTTCAGTTCAGTTATGAGAGTCTCTACTAGAATTAAATGCTTTTTATTGACTTTGCATAATGCACTGCCACCGTTTAAAAGTTCTGTTTTCAAATTAAAATTGTGCCCCTCTCTAGATATTTTATGTAAGATTTTATCAGACAAAAAGCATGTGGAAATCTGTTCTCCTGGTTTTTTTTTTTTTTCCTTATTGCATTTCTACAACAGAGCTCCAGCTTTCCTTTTGTAAAGAAAGCATCTTGCTTTGTATCACTTAAGTATTTTATTAGGTGAAGAATTATTTCAAAGTAGTAGCAACTGCTACTCGGAATTCACATATGGTGGCAAGATTGTCAGTAATGGGTTTGGATTTGAAACTGGGTCAGTGTAATCTTGGTGTATATTTTTTGAACCAGCTGGCTTGTCAGAGTTGTGCTCAATAACAAGTTCTGGGCATTTGGGATGCTCTGGCACTTGTCGTTTAAGATCAGGCCATGCCTGCTGGGGCCCAGCACCATGTCCATGGCAAGTGAGCTGACAAGTGCCATGTTGCTGTTTACTATCCTTTGGATTAATTATGCAGCACAGAGAGTAGGAGTTTATCAAGTGCCACCAGTTCCAGTTTTATGGGAAAGAATGCCAAAACATTGGACTGAATGTTTTGCTTAAGACCCAGCGCCCCAGTGATACAGTAGGCATTCAGTAGGTTTTGTTTACTCTTGATACTGTTGGGTCGACAGTAGAATGACTAAGTTGCACCAGGGAGAAATGTGTTTGCCATGGCTGTGAGCAGAAATATGGAGAACTGATGTTCCGAGTTGTCAAGTTGCCTTTGACTTACGGCGACCCCATGAACAAAAGACCTCCAGAATGTCCTGTCCATGACAGCCCTGCTCAGCTCTTCTAAATGTAGAGAACTGGGATGTGGAACTGTGGCTGTTGCTGGTGGTGGCTTCATTTCTGTGGAGGGAGCTGTATCGTTTCTTGTGTGCTCTTGCTAAGAGAGGCATTAGTCAGAGAGTCGTGTTTCATGGAGGAGTGCTGAGCAAGAAGTTCAGAGTGATGCCTCGTTGAAAGCCCTCACTGGAACTTCTCTTTGTTTTGGTGGCCAGCTTGGCACTTGATGACAAAATGGTAGAATTCTGAGGGATATATGTTGTTGTCAGTGGTGGTGGTTTTATTTCTATGCTACCCGGTAGCTGAAGCTCTCTGGGAGTTTCACCGCAGCATATAAAATACAATAGAAATGCAATATGAAAATACGGATTACAATAAAACCGATAAATTATGCTATGAAATTTAAAAGACAAATTTTAAACCAAACTTAAAACACTACAATAGCTATGACAAATTAAATAACAAGACATGTTAGACAGCTTATGGACTGCCCCAATATCCTACTTAAAACTGATTGATACCCTGTAACAGATGCGAAACAAGCAAGAGCTGTTGGTGCTTGGTGTGCATCAGCAGGCAGCTTGTTGAGGGGCTGCCACTGCGAAGACCCACCTCCCTGTTGCCTCCACCTTCGTCTCCCATGGAGATGGCAGTCTGGGAACAAGCAGCTGTGAGATGTGCTCCCAAGTGGCAGAGCTTTCTGGGTTAAGAGTTGCCCCTTCCGCTGGGCTTGGAAGCAACAGCAGCCAGCAAGTGGACCAGAACTGGTGTGTGTGTGTTCTAGTGTATCTTGCACAAGCCGTAGCTTCTGAACAGTCCTCAAGAGCAGCCCCGTGCTGAGTGCAGTGCAGTGATCTAATTCAGAGATTACCTGAGCACAGGGGTGTAGCCGGGCCACCAGCCGAAGCTTGCAATGGACTCTGTGTGCCAGGAAGCCATGTGAGCGTAAAGTGGCCCAGATGGGTGAGGAGAAAGGACCCTCAAGGCACTGCGAGCCAGCAGGGCCAGCTCAAGAATTTTTGCTGCCCGAGGTGGACCAGAGAGTTGCCGCCTCCTGCTTCTCCTGGATTGCCTGGGGCCAGTGGCTACCCCTCAGCCTAACTTCCTGGCAGGATAGCCCCTGGAGGAAAGGCAGAATATGCATGTGATAAAACAACATTATAAAACATGCTGACTGGTCTGTTGGAAGTGGGTGGGCTGGCAATGGTGAGCAGATGCATGACTGGCCAAGAGGAGCGAGCGAGCGAGCGAGCGAGGCGAGCGGCTGTGATGACAGTGAGCCAGCGGGTGGGTCTGGGCAAAGTGCTGGGAACCAGCAGGCAGATGCGGGAGGAGCCGGCGGGGGATTAGCCCTGCCTGTCCACCCCTGTCCTCAGATGAGTCAGGTACGCTCCCATCTTTCCCTTTGCCTGGCTGGGTGTTAGTGGAAATCAAATGTGATTTTAATTGCAGGCACCATTTGTTTAATTCTGCTTTTAGCGAAAAACAGAAGAACGATGCCTCAGCAATGCTAGAATCCTAGTGTTAAATCAGTCAGCATATATAATTAAATCTCCTGTTTTAATGTAATTTGATTGGAGTTAATTATCATTATAGAGGATTTTAAAATGAGTTTTCCATTCAAATAGTTGAGATTGCAGATTTACTGCTTTTCTATTTTTCTCTTTTAAACTCTGGGATGCTTCTATTCACAAAATGTTAACTTTTCATAAATTTTAGATAAAATTCCCTTGCTCATGGGTTTAACTATATCAAACTATTATTCAAATATAATTAGCTTTCTACTGATGTTTCTTAAACTTGATTAAGAATGAGTTTAATCAAGGTACCACTATATTTCCAGTCCTTGTTGTTGTAGTTGCAGAAGCTCTTGAAAATGTTCTAGAGCAAAGTTGCAGGTGCTGCTATGGCTGTTTGTGTTATCGTTACCCACATAAACTGAGAAATGAACTGGCCTTTACGTCCACAGATACAGCCCTCTCCCTGCTTGGTGTGCCGTGCTAAGCCTAGAAATCTTCTATTACATGTAGTTTAACGTTTTACCTGAAACTAGAGTCTGTGTTTGCCAAGTTCAGAACAAAATAGTGTCGAACATTAATGTTAGGCTACGGTCCTGGCAGGTTCTGAAGCTGCTAAGCAGAATTTCCTGGCTTCTTAGGGAGTCCTGAGAAGGGACTGGGGAAGGGGCGACGTGAGGCTGGAGCATGCAGGCAAAGGCCTGCCAGTCTCTGCTGATCAAACCGGAGCACGGTTTTCTCGGTGCAGTCGATCTGTGTTGGCATGTGCTTGGCATACTCATGTCCCTTTGGTGTTTATTGAAACAAACATTTCTTTCTCTCTCTCTGAAGATACGGGATTACAGTTTGGCATAGATATAGATAAGGTTAAACATGCAGTTGTACTCTCTGGAGTCTATTTATCTTGAAGATGCATAGGTGCTTAGCATGAATTTATTGCCTGTCTAGTTTTTAGCTAAGGGTTTTTATCTAAGGCATTCTAAAGTAAACTATAAATGACAACTTGTTCTTCTTACCCTTTATAGGTTCTGTGGCATCTTGATATTTTTCGACGCAGTTTTCGACAACTTACAACACATAAATGCATGGGAGATTCCTGTATATTTTGTGCTCTCAAAGTAAGTAATGCAGTGAGTTGACATTAGAAGGAGAAAATAGTCAGCATGGACTATTAAACCATACTTCATAATTCAGTGAGTGCTAGATACAGCTAGGAAAGAGAAAAATGTTTATTTGTTGTTGTTATGAGTTGCCAAGTCATTTCCGAGTTGTAGTGGCCCTGTGTTTGGAAGCCCTCCCATGGCATCTTCCCTCCCAAGTCCTGTCCATGACATCTCTTTTCTTTCCCCTGTCATTTATTATGCATGTGCATGAAGAAGGCCTTCCTGTTGCTTTTAACATCCCTCACTAACCTCAGTTCATTCTTAGCTTCAACCACATATTCCTTTTATACCTTGCTCCATTTATTTTATTTGAGATGCTCTTGATAAGACTACTAAGCACTTCCTTCTGTTTGTTTATATATAAAAATATCTTAGAAAAATGTGTTACTATATAAATACAAATAAATAAAAATAAATTTATAGAAAATAAGCTTGTCTCCAAGGAGCAAAAAGGAGGGTAGAGAACAGGACACATTCTATTCCACTGCCAAAGGGCACTTAAGTTAAAAGTGGAGATGCGAGTTTATCACTGACAAACAAATGTTCTTTGGCCATCTAGAGACTATGCTATAAGAAAAAACTTAAGCAGGGCTTCTCCAAAATGCAGTCCATTTTATTGTGAAACGCTCTGTGGCACTATTAATTCTTCACTAGCCAAGTCGTGTTTTGTTGCTCACATTCAGGTTCAAACACTGGGTGTCAGTGAGCACAGTCTTAGCAGCGTGTGCCAGCATTCACTCCGTTAGCTGTCACATCTGTTCACCGTTCGGATGAAGCATGCTGGCAGTACAGTTTCCCTAACCTGGACTGGGTGTTAAACCTTCGCCTTGGGAAGGCAACTGAGTGTGGCTGTGATGCCAGATCACGGTTCCTCCTTTCTTTTAGCCCAGCTGCCTTTGCGACTGCAGGAAGCGGCAGGGCTGCCTTGACCCCAGAACAGCTCTCTGATCTGCTATTGATGTTGATGCCTGCTGTGCACAGTCCCTGCTTTCTTTATTCTTCCAATGCACGGCCTTGGTTTGGAGTTTGTTTATCTGCGCTCGGGAAGTGGGAGGGGGAGCTAGGCTGTGATACTAGGCCTGCCACAAAGAGTTTGTTTGCTTTCCCGAGCTTCTTGTGCCAGGATGCAGGACAGAGAGTGTTTTGTTGCTGGTGGAGAAGAATGTGGCATTGATTTGTGTGTTCTGCCAGAGCTTTTGTATTAGCGGTAAGAAAATCAGGAAGAATTAATTTTATGGGTTGACAGGATGTTTTCTGACATGAATAGGATAGGTATAATCTTTGGATTGACAACAGAAGCAAAAATTAGGGTTTTTTCCTGCTTTTGGTAAGTAAATGTTGTGAGCCGCCCCGAGGCTTTGGCGAATGGGGCGGCATAGAAATGTTTTAAATAAATAAATAAATAAAACACGTTGTACAAGCAAAATCCAAGTATGCATGCCTATGCAGATCAGCTTGTGTTGCTAGAATTCTGTTTTGGTCCCGAGACTCTCCTGCAGCCGCCGGCCTCAGGTGATTTTGCGTTAAGTCTAGCCCGTCCCGGCACTCTTGAAGGTAACTGCCTCCTGGAGATGAGTGCAGGTGCTGCAGCACTTGCCTTCGCAAGCAAGTGGTCCAGGATTGCTGGCTGCTGCTCAGAAAGAGCCCTTCCTAGAAACCTGTGCAGATTCAGAGCCTGGAGGAAACCAGTAAGAAGACACTTGCTGGCAGCTTTGGTGGGGCACCCAGAGCTGGCCAACAAGGGGAGGCTTCCCCTGACTGCCAGGTTCTCATTGGATGTTGCCTGGAAATCTGCCACCTGTGGCGTTTGTGCCCCTTTGTTGCCTGATGTTGTGGCTTCTGTAATGGAGAAGATGTTCTCTTGACAGGATGGCTGCTGCTATACTTCGATGGCAAACGTTTTATTATTGGTTGGGGTATTTACCATATTTCTATTTATACTGTTGTATTTATTGATCTTGTTGTGAGCCATCTGGAGATGCAGAGTGATGGACGGCCTATCAATTTCCCAAATAAAAATAAAATAAAATAAATAAGGTGTTTTTTTGCTGCTACAGTTGAAAGGCTGGGCATGAAGAGCCATGGCTGATCTGCTGCAAGTCACCCAGATACCCAGCGCTAGACTCTGATATGCCTTCTGCTTACCCTGATCTTGTGGTGGTGTTGTGGCAATAACGGAGGGGCGTCTCCTCAGCTGCTTAGGAGAAAGTCAGGATATAGAAATGCAATACATGTTTTAAAAAATGAATGTAGCAGTAGAGCGAACCTTTTGGGCCGTTACAGTCCAAAGGAGGGTGTGGAAGGAGCAGCGTACTGGGGGATATGGAAGGGATGGCATACAGTGGAGAACCCTTGCAAGAAATGTGTGGTTTAAACTGCTTCGTGAGATGGAGAGTTTGTCCCTGTTGAGCCAAGAAAGCTGTTGAGCCAGACTACCCAGGTGGGAACATGCCAGTGGCCAAGGAACGCTGGATTCTGGTGTAAGACACAGGAAGGCAGGAAACAGATGAAAGGGAAGCCGGTGTCCTTTTGAAGTCCCCTGAGTTTCTGCTGCAGCAGATGCATTCGTGTGCAGACCTCGGGCGCAGACCTGTTCTCACGCCGCCTCTGTGGGCGGCAGAAAGCTTTGATATGCAGAGAGGACAAGGGACGAAACCAGCCTGGCAGGGCAGCTTTGCCTGTGGCAGTGGGAGAAGGTGCAGGAGGAGGTGAACCAGACTGGGGACACACTGGGTGGAACGTCTGGCTGGCATGCCCACTGGGGACCAAGTGGCACGAGCTGAAACTGCAGCCCTTTTAATGCCAGCGCTGGCTTGACAGGGTCACATTCCCCCGCCCCCTCCAATCTCTAGACTAGATTACTGCAATGCACTCCACATGGGGCTGCCCTTGAAAACTGTTCGGAAGCGGGAGTTTGTGCAAAAGGTGGCAGTCAGATTCCTAAATGGCACTGGAAAGTCCAAGCATATCAGAGCCCTTCTGCCTGCATTGGCTGCCCGATTCACGATGCTGCTTTCGACAGCAGAATGCTCCTCTCCAGTCTGCCAGGTTCATGAGACCTACCTCTGAGGCCTTCCTCCAGCTGGGGAGGGAGTGGAGGCCCAGAACAAGGCAACAAGGAGGAGGGCTCTCTCAGTGCTGGTTCATCTTAGCACTTAGGGAGTGACCTCCCCCTTGAGGCCGGCCGGCCCCAACATTGGCCTCTTTTCAGCCCTAGGTTAAGATCCTCAACCTCCATGCATCTAATAACATTTGATGGGACATGGCAAGTGTTTCATCCATCTGGGTTTTTTCTTGATAGGGTTTTAATTGTTCAAGCTGTTTTAACTGTTATATATAGGAATTTTATGCTGCATGTTATTGTATTATGTTGATGTCATCTGTGTTTGTTATTGTACCTGCATTGTTTAATTGCTGTGAACCACCCAGAGACCACTGGCTGTACAGAACCCTGAAGGCTTCTGCAAAATATTTTGTCTGTATGTGCTAGCATCCCTGACATTATGCCATCTGAATTTGAGGGCAGGTGAACATTTGGACCCAAATTGGGATAATCTCTCATTTTATCTCTCATTTTACGTTAGTAAAATACTTGGAATAATAAGCTGTGTAGCTGAGGCATGAGAAGCAGAAAACTGATGAAGGCTTGAGGCTGTGATCAGTATTAAGAGAGGTTTCTCTTCAAATGCAGCTAAAAGGTCATGATAACATAACATACAGTAAATGGATTTGTTAAATAAATGCATTTACTTTAGAAACTGTGCTAAGAGTGAAAAGATCATGGACGTGAAATGCCCTCTTTTTCCCACCTAGGGTATCTTTAACCAGTTTCAGTGCAGCAATGAGAAAGTGCTGCCTTCTGATGCTCTTCGGAATGCTCTTGCAAAGACTTTCCAGGATGAGCAGCGTTTCCAGCTGGGCATCATGGATGATGCTGCAGAATGCTTTGTGAGTATGGCACAGGTGCAATGCATGTACATGCGGCTTAACTGAATTTTTGAATGCTTTGGAGAAAAATTCCATCAGATCCTAAAATGGGACTTCTGTGTCACTGACCTCCCGCTGTCTGTCATTGAAGCACTCCTGTTTTCATGCCTTCTCACAGGAGAATCTTCTGATGAGGATTCACTTCCACATCGCAGACGAGTCCAAGGAAGACATCTGCACTGCCCCGCACTGCATTTCACACCAGAAGTTTGCAATGACCTTATTTGAGCAGGTACGGCACAACTTCCACTCCAAACAGTATAATCATGAAATGAAGAACTAGCGGATGGGGAATTTGTACAGATGTGCATTTCTCTCCCGACTGTTAACGGCATTTATCTCTGGTTTAGTGTGTCTGTACCAGTTGTGGTGCCACTTCTGACCCTCTGCCCTTCATCCAGATGGTGCATTATATCTCAACCACGTCACTCTGGTAAGTCTCCATGTCTTGCACTGGAAAGGAAAAACGGTCCTCTTGTTTCATTCTTTCCTCCTAAATGCTGCACGTTGAGTGGCAGATGTCGCTAAAGCCATTAGGAGTTTAATGAAATAATTGGTATGAGACGCCTTCAAATTGTGTGGAGACAGGTGCCTGCAGGAGGAGGAGGAACAGGGCAGGGGACAGTGCTGATCGCCTACGGAGAGCAGAGCAGTCTGGGAATGAATGCCAGGGTCTCGATGGCAATCCAAGGTCTTTCCTTTCCTGCCACAAAGCATGCATTTTGAGACCCAGGGGCCTTCTCTGTACAGCAGATGGGCATATCTGGAGCCAGTGTGGTGCAGTGCTTAAGAGCACGGGACTGGGACTCAGGCGATCCGGGTTCGAGTCCCCGCTCGGCCATGGAGCCAGCTGGGTGACTGGGCCAGTCACAGACTCTCAGCCCAACCCACCTCACAGGGTTGTTGTTGTGGGGAGAAGATGGAGGAGGAGAAGGATGTAAGCTGCCTTGAGCCCTTTGTAGGAAAAAGGCAGGATATAAATCGATAAATAAATAAATACGGGAGGGACAAAATAGACCTCTGTCACCTCTAGCCTGGAAGGGGGAAACTTGTTTAAGGGTATGAAGTGCTGTGCATATACAGAATCAAAGATCTCAAGTTCCATTATTTCACTGTATTCTAACCCAATGTACTTAGATTTCAGTAACTTATAATGGTATGTATAAATGCCTAGCCTGTTTTTTCCCCTCCCAGGTGTTCTGATCAAGGTATTAATTCATTTCTTTCCTCTGTATTGCAGTTGTCTTGATGTTAAGATTATAAGCTCCATGGGGGGAAGGACTGCCCTCTTGCTTAACCTGCCATATAGCTCTGGTAGTGCTATCTAAATAACAAAAATAATAATGCAAAAGTATTGATTACAAACAAAATTATATTATTAATCTTGCTTTTTACATTTTTAAACTTAAAGCAATCAGGCAATTTGCATGCTGGAAAGACGAGAGAAACCCACTCCGGATATGTTTGGAGAGCTGCTACAAAATGCAAGCACCATGGGGGACTTACGAAATTGTCCGGTTTGTATAAGTTGTTTGCATTTAATAGAAAGAGTGGCCCAAAGGGGGAAAACAGTATCTGGTGGGATCTGTGTCTGATAACAGCTTTTCAATATGTAGTTCATCAGTATACCAGAAATACAATAATCTCTGGATTACTCTGAAGAATTTCTTAGCTTCAGTAGGTACCACACAGTAGGTACCACAGAGGGGCAGGTATAGTCAAGGAGTAGGTGGAGCAAGAGGCAGCTGTATTAAATTAGTTTTAGTTCAATAAACGGGCTTTCTGTTTTACAGAGCAACTGTGGGGAAAAAATCCGTATCCGCCGTGTGCTGATGAACTCCCCGCAGATCATCACCATCGGCCTGGTGTGGGACTCGGATCATTCAGATCTGGCGGAGGACGTCATTCACAGCCTGGGCACCTGTCTGAAGTTGGGAGATGTGAGTCTTTCATCTTGTGGCCAGGCTTTCTGCTTTGCTTTCTCCTCTGCTATCCAGGTGTATTTTCCTTTTAGCAGTGGAGGCTCAGCAGGGCCCATATGCTAGATTTCCACCTGGACTTGAATAAATAATTCCCAACAATTTTCAGATAGGAGCATTTTCCAGATGAATGTGAAGAACTTTTCTGTGATTATCCTCTCCTCTTTTAAAGCTCTTCTTCAGGGTAACTGATGACAGAGCAAAACTGTGTGAACTGTATTTGGTTGGAATGATCTGTTACTATGGAAAACATTACTCCACCTTCTTCTTCCAAACAAAGATTCGCAAGTGGATGTACTTTGATGATGCCCATGTCAAAGAGGTAAGAAAGTTGGAGGCTTTTGTGACATGATTGGGTGTTGGCGAGAACCACTTTTCCCTCCTGCCACGGGACTTCACATTATTCTAAAAATGCTTTTCACAGTTTAACTCACTCTCCTCTCACCACACAAGTTGCTCTTGTGTAACTTTCATTTATTTCTAGGAAGCTGATACCAGAAATGTTCTAGGGAGATTATGTCCTTTGTATGTCAGTGAGCAGCCACAGTGTTCTTGAAAGCAAAAGCTGATATTCATGTTCTGACTGCCCCAAGGAAGGCCTTTGAATCACTTATTGCAGGGGCCCTCTTCCCGGGGTGATTTATTATGGATTGTTCCTCATCTAGGGACAGCTGCATGTGTGAATGCAGGTAGGTTGACTCCCAACATTGACTAATGTGTGCCCTGGTCCAGATTTTTAGAGACATGTCCAGGACAAAGGTTTGCTTTCCCAGAAGTGGGATGACTAGGAGGGGAAAAGAATGAAGAGTGGGAAGACAGGAGATGGGAAAGGGCAGAGAGGGGGAGAAGAAAGCCCAATTGGACGGGCTATTTTTTTTTAACTTTATTGATTTATTGTTACGCTACAGTGTTTGTCTTTACCGATTTATCATGATGTACATACAGACCAATGCTCTAGGGCTTTGTTTTTTGTTCTGCTAAACTCAGCACTGCCTGTTGAACTTATTTGTGCTGTTGTTGTGTTGTTGTTAGTCGTGAAGTCATGTCTGACCCATCGCGACCCCATGGACAACATTCCTCCAGACCTTCCTGTCCTCCACCATCCCCAGGAGTCCACTTAAGCTCATGCTGACTGCTTCAGTGACTCCATCCAGCCATCTCATTCTCTCCATCCCCTTCTCCCTTTTCCTTCCATCTTTCCCAGCATTAGGCTCTTCTCCAGGGAGTCCTTCCTTCTCATTCAGTGGCCAAGGTATTTGAGTTTCATCTTCAGCATCTGGCCTTATAAAGAGCAGTCAGGGTTAATCTCCTCTAGGACTGACTGGTTTGATTGCCTTGCGGTCCAAGGGACTCGCAGGAGTCTCCTCCAGCACCACAATTCAAAGGCCTCAATCATTCGGCGCTCAGCCTTCCTTATGGTCCAACTTTCACAGCCATACACTGCAACTGGGAAAACCATAGCCTTGACTACACACTTTTGTCGGCAGGGTGATGTCTCTGCTTTTTAGTATGCTGTCTAGATTTGCCATAGCTTGCCTCCCCAGTAGCAAGCGTCTTTTAATTTCTTGGCTGCAGTCCCCATCTGCGGTGATCTTGGAGCCCAGGAAAATAAAATCTGTCACTACCTCCAGTTCTTCCCTGTCTCTTTGCCCGGAAGTGAGAGGACCAGATGCCATGATCTTAGTTTTCTTGATGCTGAGTTTCAAGCTAACTTTTGCGCTCTCCTCCTTCACCCACATCAACAGGCTCTTTAGTTCCTCTTCACTTTCTGCCATTAGAGTGGTATCATCTGCATATCTGAGGTTGTTGATAATTCCAACTTGTGATTCATCCAGCCTCACCTTTCTCATGATGTGCTCTGCATATAAGTTAAATAGGCAGGGCGACAGTATACAGCCTTGCTGAACTCCTTACTCAATTTTGAACCAATCAGTGGTTCCGCATCCAATTCTCACTGTTGCTTCTTGACCCTGAGGTTTCTCAGGAGACGAATAAGATGGTCTGGTACTCCCATCTCCCATCTCTTTAAGAACTTGCCACAATTGGTTGTGATCCACACAATCAAAGGCTTTAGCATAGTCAATGAAGCAGAAGTAGATGTTTTTCTGGAACTCCCTAGCTTTCTCCATGATCCAGCGTATGTTGGCAATTTGATCTCTAGTTCCTCTCCCTCTTCGAAATCCTGCCTGTACTTCTGGTAGTTCTCGATCCACATACTGCTGGAGCCTAGCTTGTGGGATTTTGAGCATCACTTTGCTAGCATGTGAAATGAGAGCAATGGTGCAGCAGTTTGAACGTTCTTTGGCATTGCCCTTCTTTGGGATTGGAATGTAAACTGACCTTTTCCAATCCTGCGGCCACTGTTGAGTTTTCCAAATTTGCTGGCATATTGAGTGTAGCACTTTTACTGCATCCTCTTTGAAGATTTTGAATAGCTCAGCTGGAATACTGTCACCTCCACTAGCTTTGTTGTTGCTCAGACTTCCTAAGGCCCATTTGACTTCACATTCCAGGATGTCTGGCTCGAGGTCAGTGACCACCCCATTGTGGTTATCAGGGACGTTTGGATATTTCTTGTATAGTTATTCTGTGTAATCTTGCCACCTCTTCTTAACCTCTTCTGCCTCTGTTAGGTCCCTGCCATTTTGGTCCTTTATCATGCCCATCTTTGCATGAAACGTTCCCTTCATATCTCCAATTTTCTTGAAGAGATCTCTGGGCCTCCCTATTCTATTGTTTTCTTCTATTTCTTTGCACTGTTCATTGAAGAAGGCATTCTTATCTCTTCTAGCTATTCTCTGGAATTCTGCATTCAATTGGGTGTATCTTTCTCTTTCTCCCTTGCCTTTCGCTTCCCTTCTTTCCTCAGCTATTTGTAAAGCTTCCTCAGACAAAAAGAAAGTTTTGCTTTCTTGCATTTCTTTTTTTTGGGATGGTTTAAGTTGCTTCCTCTTGTACAATGTTGTAAACTTCTGTCCATAGTTCTTCAGGCACTCTGTCTAGCAGATCTAATTCCTTAAATCTATTTGTCACCTCTACTGTATATTCATCAGGGATATGATTTAGGTCATACCTGAGTGGACTAGTGCTTTTCCCTACTTTCTTCAATTTAAGCCTAAATTTTGCAATGAGAAGCTCATGATCTGAGCCACAGTCAGCTCCTGGTCTAGTTTTTACTGACTGTACGGAGCTTCTTCATCTTTGGCTGCAGAGCACATAGTCAATCTGATTTCTGTGTTGACTGTCTGGTGATGTCCATGTCATCTCTTGGCATGGTGACACTTGAGACAGAACTCAGGGCATTCTTTGGGGTGTGTTTATTTATCCTTAAGAGCTGAGCAGGGTTGTCACTGACAGGACAGTTTGGAGGGCTTTCATTCATAGTGTCACCAGAAGTTGCGGAACGACTTGATGGCATGTAACAACAAACACATCACTCAAAACTTCCCATTTTCAAGCTTTATGCTGCATTCCGTTTGCCAGTGTATTTTGGCCAAGGTGGGCAGATAACGTGAACCTGAACCTTTCATTAAGAGCTTGTGCATATGTGTCCTGTCCCAGCTGGTGATCCATTCCTATCCTTTTTGCAAAAAATAAAAAAGTGACATATTGCAGCAGATCTAGGCTAGTGCAAACATGCTGCCATTTACATTTTACTCAGAAGCTCTTCCCTTTCACTGCTGTAGGATGCAGTACTTGGACTCAAAATCACCAGGTCTTGGACTCTGAATACCTCATTTTTGCATTTCCTTTAATTCTTGCCCCTTCCTGTCTTTGTTAAAAGGCAGAAAAGTAACAAAAGGAAGCATTCTTTTGTAATTTTAACATGCGCAAAATGGCCTTTAGAAAAAGAAAGAACTCCCCAGAGAACAAAATGCTTTTAAGATTTCTTAGAGGGAATGCTGTGAAGAGAAGGCTTTCAGATTTTCATGAATTTTCCATTTACTTAACTTTGACCTTGACCATTACATAGTTCTTTTCTTCCAAGAAAATTAAAAAGCCTCTTTTGAAGATTGAATTTTCAGTAGTCCAATGCAAGCAAAATAAGTTGAGTCTAAAGCTAGGATGAGGACAGCATGTGAAATCAGTTGAAATTGCAAATAGGAATGGGAACCAGCTGCTGAAGATGTCTTCCTGGCTTTTAAACAATATTTCAGATAGGCCCCAAATGGAAAGATGTTGTAACCAAGTGCATTAAGGGTCATTATCAGCCCCTGCTGCTACTTTATGCGGACCCACGGGGGACTCCGGTGTCAACCCAGGACACGCCCGTCCAAGTGGACCTTCAGCAGTACAGCAGAACTTACTACGATAGCGAAGATTCAGGTAACCTCTCTGAGCTTTTGGATTTCAGAGATTGCGCTGCATTCTTGCCAGGCTGCTCATGTGTAGGATGTCGTGTGCGTTACCAGTACCAGCAAGGAAGAACACCGGGCGAAGTATCACAAGCTGGGGGAGTGGCAGAAATGGCAGCAACAGGTTCGAGCAGGCAGGGTTGGAGTTTCATAGACTCCATAGGAGCAGATGAAATTCTGTAAGAGAGAAAGTCGTCTTTATTACTGAAAACACTTTTTTTTTATAAGTCAAATTCATTTTTCTTAACTTTCTCAGTGGCTACAGAATTCCTTTCCCAGACACGCTGAATTTCTGATCGTGGTTTGGCAGAAGCTCTGTGTGTCGTACTTTGTATTCTGCATTCAGATAGAACCATGGAGACAATATGCAAAGGATTGTGTGTTCAAAATATATATTTTTCCCTTACCTTCCTATGCAGTTTTGAATCCTTTATGCAGTTTGTGACTTTGTGCAGAACCCAGGAGTTCTAGCATAATCCTCAGCTCCCATACTTAGGGAGCGCAAGTGGGAGTCTACACAGAATCTCAGGGAAGCAGGGTGGACTTGAGGGGAAGTGCTTGTCTTCACTTCTTCCACTAACCCCACTTGAGCCCATTACAAATTGGTCTTCGAGTAGATTAGGCTTAGAGAAAATTTCCTCTGTGCCCAGTCACTCTCACCTAACCGTGTCATTTCAGAGAATTACTAAGTGCTGTAATTCCAACATGTTTGCCTCTGTGACGTGTCAGTCAGCAAAGACTCGGGGAAAGACCCAGTGGCCCGTTTGTTGGTAGCAGAACTCTTGTCTCCGGAATGATTGCTAATGTCAGAGCATCTCTCACAAGGACGGTCAGAGCTTTTCTGCAGACTCTGGGCAGCCGAGACAGTGTGGGAAGAGGTGGAACATTTTGTTTAAAAAGTTACCTTGTAACTTGTTATCTTTTGCTTGGGCTTTTCAGGAAAAGGAAATTTGCGTAATAGCAAGAGGTTGCAAGTTCCCCAGCAGAGTGGCTCTTTTGGGCATGATCATTACCGTGGAGTGATCTTTCCTCTCCAAGAGCCCGTGGTCTGCCTTCGCCCCTTTCTTATCTGCAGTTCCAACTCGCACTGTCTTCTTTTACCAGGGCGTGAGCCTTCAGTCACAAGCGACACCAGGACAGACTCCTCTGCGGACAGTTTCCCGTATAAACACTCTCACCATGAGTCTGCGGTCAGCCACTTCTCCTCTGATTCCCAGGGAACTGTCATTTACAACATGGAGAATGATGCCACCTCACAGAGCAGCAGGGACACAGGTGACCCTTTTCTTCGGCTGGGGAAAGCATGTGCATTGATTCAGGCACATATCCCAGGTCAGGGGCGAGTGCTGGTTCCAGGGGGAGGCCCTTTGCCAGAGACCATGGCCCAGGCCTGCCAGCTCGCCTGCACAGAGTAGGGCCTCCAGCCAGCACGTGGAGGAGCCGCTCCTTGAGGCATTGCTGGAGGCAGATGCTGTCCGCACATAGCTTGTGCCAGTCGGGGACTCCGCTGGGCCTGGGGGAGCTGCTAGTCCCTGCACCATGCAGCCCAAAGCCAGCTTTCCCTGATCAGGGTGGCAAGGGAGGAGTGAGCCACCGTTTCTCCCCAACTACGCCTGGCTCTCTGCTTCCTTAGTGAACTTGCCTGAAGGGCAAAGGGAGGCTTTTCCATTGGTCTTCCACTGGTTTGTCCCCCGTCCAGGGGCCAGACTGAAAGGCTGAATGCCATCTTGGACAGTATTTCTGCTGTTTCCTGCCGGCCAGACAACTGGGTTTCCTTGTTACCACTAGGAGCAATGCTCCTAATTCTTCCACCTGCCAAACCCCGTTCTTTGCCAGTCTTGGCTCTCATTCCAAGCCCTGTCCTCCACACTGACCTCCACAGCTGTGCCAGCAGCAGTGGATTTCCTGCAGGAAGGGATCCCCGGCTCATGCCAGCACTGATACAAGGACACTGCACCCCTTCCCACCCTCTCACATGCACGTTCCTCAAGAGTCTCCGGAACCTCGCCCCTCCACATGGCACTTGGCATGGCCCTGGAGCCCATCCGTGGTCCCACGGGCCCTTGCAAAGCAGCCATTTGCGCCATCGCGGCTCTCGTTCCATAATCTCAGGCCGCTTCAAAAGAGCACGGCGCCATTCTGTGGGGCGCCCAGCTGACCCCTTTCTTTGTATTTGTGCTTCATTTTAGTGGGGTTGCAAGGCTGTGCTGTTAGTTGCGTGCTTTTTACTTCTGAGCTACCCAGAGCACCTTCAGGCTATTGGGCAGTATAACAATGGAACAAATAAACAACCAGTGGCCAGTCAGTCTCAAATAGTAGCCATCGTTGTCCCATCCCCTGAAAGACAGAAGCGTGGCCCCATCTTCAGGTGGAAAGAAATTTGGTTGTGGTTTGCACAAGATGAGCAGCATGAATGTGGGGTATTTCAGGTGTGGTCAGAAAAGGTGCTGCGTACATGCATGTGTGGATGCCTTTTTGTATCTTTTTGAGAAAACAAGAACTGGCAGCCTGAGGTTCTTGCAGATTGTAACCTGCACGGCATGGGAATGACCTCCTGGCCACGTGTATTGCTAAGTGTATTTTTCACCATTCTGGACTTCTTTTGCTTTTTCAAGCCAATATCATAGATAAGATGCTGAATTTCTTAAAATGTGTAGCTAATATGGGAATGCTGTGTGTAGTTGTACTTAAATCCAGGAAAAGGTCACAGTGCAAGAGCAGCAGTTTAAAAATGAGATGGAGGGAGGGAGTCGTGTTTGCGTGCGAGAGGGGCGTGTGTGAGCTTATTAGCCTGTCGGCATGAAAAGAAGCTGGTGGGCCTGGAGCTGGTCAGCCAAGGTGCCGGGCACTGCTCCGGTCAGCCTGCACAAACGGTTCCCATAACCACGGTTTCTGAAGTGCTCGTTACTTGGGCTTTTTAAATACTTCCTTGCAGACGCATTTCAGGTCAAGTTAGTCATTCCCCTGGTGCCAAAGCACTAACTGGAAGTTACAATCTATTGGATACTCGTGGCAGATGAGTGAGGCTTCCTCCTCGTAGAATGCTGAACAGCTGGTCAGGATGCCACTTCTGTTCTCCCAGGACACCTGACAGACAGCGAGTGTAATCAGAGGCACGGATCCAAAAAGGGCTCACTGGCGGACCGCAAGAGGAGTTCCAGCAGGTCGCGGAAGAAGGGGGAGGAGTCCCAGCCATCCGGATACCACAGCGAAGGCAAAGATGATGGTTTAATTCTTAAACGCCTGTTCAATTTGAGATGTGAACTGGGCCTCCTTTCTGGTCAATCAGCTGAAAAAGAGGGAGTGAGACGTGCAGTTAATTCAGAGGGAAGCTATTTTTGTCGCTGACGCTGTCCTCTCCTTCCATTCTTAAACTGCAGGGGAAACACTGAAGGAGAAGCAAGTCCCCAGAACAGCCCCCAAGACATCGAGCAGTGCCAGCAGGCTGCGGGACCTGAAAGAGACCGTCAGCAACATGATCCACAGCAGGGCACTGCAGGGCAGCCAGGGCTCCCCACGCGGAAGGAAGGATCCGGCTGAAGCGCAGCCACTGCCCCGGGCCCTGCCGGCCCAGCCCCAGGACTGGGAAATGGAGAGCACCAGCAGCGAGTCCAAGTCCAGCTCTTCCAGCAAGTGCCGCCCCACATGGAGGCCCAAAAGGGAGTCGCTGAACATAGACAGCATCTTCAGCAAGGAGAAGAGAAAGCAGTGCGGCTACACACAGCTCAGCCCCTTCTCTGAAGACGCAGGTAACCCTGTGGGGGGATGTGCCTGGGGGCAGGGAGAGACAGGCCTGTGTGGCTGATGGGCAGGGCCGTCTCGTGTGTGTGCTGCTGGGGGGGGCGCAGGGCCAGTCCACTTCTCGCCCACATCGGGTGGACGTTTGAAAGTCGGGGAGGGAGACCCGACTTGTCCTTTTGTGATGCTTTGCCTGTTTTGTATTCTGAACAACATGGGAGGAGAAATGCTTGCCAGAATCTTAACTGCCCAGGAGCTTTCTCTTTGTAATGAGGACCATTTGTTGTTTCTCTTTAATTGCACGTGCAGGACGCCATATTCATTTATTTCCTTCTGCAGCACAATATTTTACAGCCAGCTAGGAAAGGAAGCTTTTCCCTCAACAGTATTTGGTAGTGAGATTGGCTGGCACAGAATCAGCAAGTGTTTAACAAGTTCCTGCCTCTAATGGGAAAACCCTGCAATTATTAGATCAGAACAATCAATGAACAAACCCCAAACCTAACTCAAAACTGGAAATGAATTGCTACAGGGAGCACCAAGAAAGGGGTTAGATTAAATCAGTGATTTAATTCAAAACATTTCATGCATTATTCATACTGTTTGCGGTAAGCATAAAAACACAGCTGATCTCAAATTGTATATAGCTTGAGACAGTGCCTGTTTGGTTTCTAAGTATTTGCTTAGTGCTATTTTAGAAAACAAGGTTCTGCTTAGTTTTAGATCACGAGCAAATTTCAGAGATGGGCAGTCGCTCGCTATAGAGGAGGAGTTGCCGCTCACCCGGCTGGCAGGTGACGCCTGCAGGGGCTTGCCGTGGCTTCGGCATCAGGCTGCCGCAGACGCGCCTGAACAGTGGTGCCGTGCGGGGACTGAGGAGGGAGTTCTCTTCGCCGAGCAGTGAATAGCTGTGCCCCACCACGGAAGAGCAGCGTCTAGCAGAGCCACGCTGCATTGGAGCGAGGGCCGCAGGTGCCCTCCTGCTCGCCCAGACGCCCCTGACGCTCCCTCAGACAGGGCCTTCCTCCAGAGAGCGCTCTCAGCTTGGCGCGCAGGTCGAGCCCTGGAGTCCCCAGTGAATGAGGGCCTGGAAGCGTCCGTCCCAAACCAGGCATCCCCTGCACAGGCGAGTTGGGCCGGTGAGGCCACAGTCCGCGCTCACACTGCCAGCGGCCGGCTGCCCCCTCTGTCCGAGTCCGTGCGGTGCCCAGGGCAGCAGCTCGCCTTCCGTGCACTTGCGGCCCCGGGACACGGCTGCTCTGCCGCCACGTCCTCCTTGCGGCAGAATGCGGGCGAAGCACCTCGGCCCTCAGCTGGGCTCTGGCTGCTTAGTCCAGCACGGAGGCTTTCAAGGCGGCAAGCGCCCAGGCCGAAGGCCTACTGGTGACGCCTCAGAGGAGCCTGAGGAAGCAGCATGGGGGGCGGGGGCGGGGGGGGTCAGGCGGCTGTTGCCGCTTTGCCACCTCCCGTGTCCTCTAGCCCTGCTGGGTCCAAGCACTCCCTGTTTTCCTTCAGTGGGTCAAGCAGCTCGTTCTCCAGAAACACAGAGGAGCAGTGGCTCGCGTGGGCTTCCTGTGCCGGGTGAATTCGCAGGCTCTTGAGCCCGTCGTCACGCTGATGGGAATCGCAAGGGGCGTGCAGAGGGACTCAGGCAGTGGGTGGAGAGACCACCGCCTCGCCCAGCCCTTGTGGGTTGGGACAAGCAAGGAGCCCATCGAGGGGAGGGGAGTCCACCGGATTCCTGGGGCTTGGCTCCCTGGACCCCACTCTGCGCTGCGGCATCCGGGAGCCTGAGCTCCCGGACACAGGCCCAGCGGTGGATCGCAGGGTGCCTACATGCCGCACAGGCCTCTGGCATGGAAGAAGCCCGGCTGCGGGGCGCTCCGTCGCAAGGGGCTCGCCAGGAAAGCAGCGCGCCTGCCGTAGGTTCGCCACCCCTGGCCTAGATGCTCGTTGAGCTGAACCCGAACCTTTCACCTCAACGAGAGAGCCCAATTTTGCCAGGACCACAGTCTTTTTATTGTAACGTCGGGTCTGTTGCTGCCACAGGCCTGTTAGGAGCTGTCTGGCCAGGCTCCCCAGTAGGTTATCAAGGCTCATCCTATGAAAGGCACCGCTCCTTCATCTCCCTTTGCTGGAGCTGCCCTGTTGGAGGAAAGAGTAATGCAGAGCAACAACCTGGCTGAGTCCATTAAACCTGGGCACTACTCAGTGGCTGTGTGCTGCAGAGCAGATGCCTGTTTTGGAAGTCTGGCTCTGCCCCAGCTCCAGGTAGGCCCCCTTACTAGGCGCCTGCTGCTGCACCTGCACAGAAGTGATAAAGGAGAAAGTGGTTGATACCTGTAACAGATGTTCTTCCAGGGGTCCCCTTTGCACAAACCGCCCCCTGCCATTCTGCTGGTACCTTTCTTTTGTGAGGTCCTTCATGCTCCCCCTTTCCTGTTATTTTTATTAGTAGAAGGTTCCTCACCTTTCTGGGAGGGAGCGGGAAGAATCAGCTCCCTGGCTTAGGACGTGCAGGCCCCACCAGGCCAAGTGCACAGGTGGCCATTTGAAGAACCTCAATTATTTTATTTATTTATTTATTTATTAAAACATTTTTATGCCGCCCCATTCGCCGAAGCCTCGGGGCGGCTTACAACATCGATTACAAGCAAGCAGTACATACTTATGAAAGGGAAATGTGCAGGTGTAGAGTGTGATAGCAGGGAAATGGATTTTCCTGTCATCTCATGTTCTTACTAGGTAAAGAATTTGTGGAAGAGGAACTTAAGGAGCTGGTCTCTCAGGCTAGGCCAAACCAGTCGCACAGGTACAAGCACTGGGCACTAGGTCGGGGTGTGCACCATCTGGGGGACCAGCATCCTCACCTGATCCAGAGGATGGAGTCCGGCTACGAAAGCAGCGAGCGCAACAGCAGCAGCCCCGTCAGTCTGGACATGCCTTTGTCAGAGAGCTCCAGCGCCTCCAGGTGGGTGTCACGCGAATGTGCCTTGGCTGCCTTGGCCACACGTGGGCTGAGTGCACAAGCTCCCCTCCTCTTCCCTGAACACCCTGCGATTTCCCTGCTCAGCATCCCAAGAGCTGACAGGTAGAGCAGGGTTGTAAATTAGAGCAGGGAGCGGAGGGAAGGGCTGCAGCACCTGCTGGCCGGCACAGGCACAGAGAGCTGCCCGCCCGCCCGCCCTCACCTCGCTGGTGCTTGGAGCAGGCAGGAGCAGCGGCTGTGGCCACCTGGCCTGCCAGCAGGCCTCCCTTGACATTGTGGAGGAGCAGCGCTCTCCTGCCCCTTGCCTGCCTTGCTCCCCGTGAGCTTAGCTGTCTTCCCCTGGTCCCCTTCCCAGCTGTAGGCAAGCCTGACCGCCCTCAGGGAGCAAGGAGGAACATTTGCTCCGTTGCCTCTCTGCGAGGAAACAGGGTGGCCAGGACTGGCTTGCTCGGAGCTTCTGGGTGACTTCAGTGCATGTTAAGATGATGACATGCAATCTAATCCTGCACCTCCAAGCTTCAGGCAAAACGTTTGTCTCGTACAGGGTTATGCATAATTGACTAAAGCAAACACATATGTGTTTTAAGGCCCTTATTCTTTTTTACAGAGTATTCTTGCAGGAGCACATTTTGGGGTTCTGTTGAATCTCAGGCATGTATGTGTATGTCCATGGCATCCACATTTCAGGCTCTGTGCTATTTCTGAAGGGAAGATACAGGTGGTAGCTGGCGTGGGGGATTCTGCCATTCTGAGGGCCTGGAGCTGCTTTAAGTTGGGCAGTTTTGTGGCGCCAGGGAAAAGGCGACCAAAGAATTGCAGCTGGAAGACTGCCTGCCATGTGGGTTTGCTCGTAGTGGCTGTGTCACCCACTCCTAGCCAAAGACATCCAGACTTATCTAAAGAGCCAGGAATTAACAACCCTGGTACTATTTTGTGTAACTTCTGCCATCAGAACTGATTTAGCTCCTTGATGAAGAGGTGTCTGTGCATCTCTAGTTCTTTCTCACAGCAAAACACTTTTCTTGGCTCACGGACAGCTCAGGTGGGCACTTCTTGTCACCATAGCACTATAAAAGCATACCTTTAAAAGTGTCCAAGCCTAGCCCTGACTCCTTTGTAGTTTCTTTCTCGTGTTCCTATGAGATGCTTAGCTGCTTAGGTCAGCCAACATCAAACAATGTATATTCATGGGGTTGCAACAGTTCAAACCCTAATCTGGCTGCATGTCAAATTGTAAAGCCTAATCTTAAAACTTCAGATTTTCCCTGGGTCCAAGAAGCCATGGAGATGTTGGACTTCAGGCCTATTTCTCGTGGCTCCGTCAGGTGGGGTGGGCAACTTGTGGCCCTTGTGGTGTTCCGGCTGCAGCTCCCACGGTCCCTTGCCATTGGATATTGTAGTCGGGCTGATGGGAGCTGTAGGCCGAACCACTTGAAGGCCCAAAGATGGTTCCCTCCACCCTTAAGGGATTCTTCAGCAAGCTTTGGGACAGCGTGCCCCTCCCTTTCCTAGCGCAGGAAAGCATCGACTAGTTCCAAGCCCCAAAACCAGTTTTCCTGGTTGGTCTTAACTTATACAGGCCTAATAGCTTGGGGCTAGCATATCGTGAGCATCGTCTCCCGTCTCCCGCTGTATTTGCAGCACCCTTTCCAGGGGCCTCCTCTGCGAGGGCTCCTGAGGACAGCTTGTTTCCAGTTGCAGCAGCGCCCGGTGGGGGAGTGGCTGCTCCAGAGGAGCTCCATCTGGCATTGCAGTGGGCTCTTTGGGGCACCTTTCCACTGCTATGTAGGCCTTCCATGTAGCTTTCTAAAGCATTACTGTGTTTTTAGAGTTTTACCCTGCTGCTGGTTTTATTCTGCTTTTCCTCTGTGTAAAAATTTTAAATATCATAGATTGTTTTATTACATTGCATTTTAGGGCTTGAATCTTTGTAAGTGTCCAAGTGGGCTTTGGCTATTGGGACTGGCCCCAGGTAGGCTAAGCATTGGCTGCCTCTAGAAAGAAAACCGTCTTAGCTCTACTGCTTCTGCAGCGTCAAGCAAAGACTATGATGTTTCACGTCAGAATCATGTTGGTTTTCTTCCTTTTACAGAGATTCTCATCTGAAGCGACCTGGAGGCTTCGTCCCGGCCTGGCGGAATATCCCAAAGTCGCATAGCAGCAGCATCTTGGAAGCAGAGTCTGTCTCATCTGCTCCTTCCTGGGCAAGGAATAAGTGCTCCATGGGTAACAGCAGCATGCGTTTTCCGTTGCTAAGCACACGCGGTCCCGGAGTGCGGAAGGCCCACTGGTGCGATCGTGCAGCTCACGGGGGGTTTGCTCTGTGAATCCAGGGTGCTTCCGAGCTGGAGCTGCCTGGCGTTGCCAGGCCAAAGGCGGGATTGTGCAGGGAGAGCGATGGCCGGGGAGCTGTGCGGGGAGAGCCTCGTTTGGGAGCGACCCGGGAAGGAGTGCGTGGTGCTTTCCAAAGTCTTGGATCTTGCAGGCGGTGGCCATGCACGTGTGGGTGAGCGGGAGGAAGGGCTGCCGAGGAGGGGGTGCTCTCTTGGGGTTAAGCAGTGGAAAGGGTGCCGCTATTACTTCTATGCTCATGCTGATTCGTGGCTCTTCGTATTGTTTGAACTATTTGACTACCTGGGGAATAAGTGCTGCTGGATATTAAGAACTGTTAATGGGGGTAACCTTTGCATTGGTGGCTAATGGAGTTCTTCATCTGGCTGTAGGAATTACAAAATAGTTGAAGGAAGACTGGGGTATTTAATACATGGGTAGAGATGACATAGATATTGCTATTAATGAGCTGATTAGAGGAACCAGACTAAACATCAAATAACCTTTGTTTAATTTTTGGCTTGCCACCCACTCAGAGTCTCTTCTAATTTTTTTAATTCATCAAATAATTTCCAAGATGTATACCTGACAGCTCTATATTTATGATGCTGTCTGCAACAAAAAGAATAGTTATGGGGAAGTCCTGGCTGTTCACAAACCTGCTATGGAGTATAACAGAAGGCGTTACCTTAGGTAGGGATTTTCGGAGATTGGTCTTGCAACCTGTGCCCCAGAAAGGGCTTCCAGTATGCGCCTCCTGGAAGATACCTGTTCCTAATAGAGCGCTGGCCCTATTCCTGCACCCCTCCAGCCTGTCAGGAGCAGCCCGCTGGCTGCCCTGGAGAGACCAGGGCTCAGAATTCTGTGAGCTGAGGATGCCCATGCTTTAACATGGCGGGAGAATCCGTTGCCCAAGGGGGGCGTCAAGGAGGCCAAAGAGACTAGTCACCGCCGGGCAGTTTTGTGTGCGACATGCTAATTTGGGATAATGAGAGGCCCACAAAAGGTCAGAAGCCCAAGAACTGCCAGTGCACACCCAGCACAGAAGGCCTGGCATTGGCCTAAGCAGAACAGTTGCGCCTGCAGTGCGCTTGGGTTGCACCGTGGAATAACTGGAATAGCTGGCTAAGAGTCACATGGGAACTTTGCCAGAGGCGAAGCCCCGTGTGGCTAAAAAAGAAGCAGGAAAGCCAAATAGTGTGACTCAGGCAAGGGGAGAAGGCGAAATGGTAGTCCTTAAAAGGTGGGCTGGGTGCCAGAGACAGAGGTGGGTGTTTGGAAGAACCTGGAGGTTGTGAACCAGCCTGGCCCTGCCCTTCATGGAGCAGTGTGGCAGAAGGCGCTGAGTCCCACGCAGAGAGAGCAAGCCAGGGAGCGGATCTGGAGAAATGAAGGGGAGCCCTCAGGAGATTTCCGGCCCCTTGGCTAGATCACAGCCAGCTGGCTCAATATGACAGAAGCCACGCTAGCAAGAAGCCAGCGGGAGAATATGCCCAAGGGAGGCCGCAGGTGTTGGCCTGGGGTGCTTCACCCGGCGGATCTGTCTTGAGGGGTGTGACACTTCAGCGTCGCCACAAGCTTTCTGCCAAAACTCTGGGTTGCCTTATTTTAATGGTACCCACCTGGGTCAGTGGACTAGGGTGGCAAGGCAGGCACATGTCCAGAGCTCCCCGGCCGGCATCTGTAGCCGAGCAGCCCTTTAAATTTGGTTGCAACAGAGGGCATGCAGGCTAAAGACTTGCAGCCGAAATGACCAGCTTCTTGCTCACCGCAGCCAAGGGCCTTCAGCTCAGGCAGCTTTTCCTCGAACAAGAGCCCCAGATTAGGCAGGGTGCCAGGTGGAGCCAGCAAAGAAGCAGCTGCTCCTGCCCGGCAAGCCGTCATCACGGGGTCTCTTCGAAGCAGCCACACACCCAACAGACAGGGAGGATGCGGGCAGCAGTAGAACCCTCACTTCCTTCATAAACCTTTTATTTTCGGAAGAGTGGCTTGGCACAGGCCTTCCGTTGGCTATAGTAGATTTGAGAAGACTGGACAGAAAGCGGCTCTAAATGGGATGCAGCATGAAGTCACTGGATGCTGTTTGTTTCCACAGGTGGGGAAATACTTGTTTCCTCCAAGAGCGAACTAGATGAATTGCAAGAGGAAGTTGCCAGGAGGGCCCAGGAGCAGGAGCTCCGCAGGAAGCGGGAAAAGGACCTGGAGGCGGCGATGGGCTTCAACCCCCACCCAAGCAGGTTCATGGACCTGGACGAGCTGCAGAACCAGGGTAAAGGGGTGGGGGGCAGGCTGCTGCTCCTGGGGACGGATGGGGGGGCAGTTGGTGTACGTCTGAGCAAGTCAGCAGAGTGACGTACAAAGTGCGAATGGCCTTCTGCAACGAGCATTTCATGCCCTCCTCTTCTTGAAGTTACTGGAGTTGTGGCTTCTGTCGTGATGATGCGTATTCTTCGAATGCATTTGTCTTGGCTGAGCACAGAAAGGAAATGCTTGCGTCTGTTCATTGGATTGATTTCTGCCCTGCCTTTCCACCCCAAGGAGTCTCCAAGGCAGCTTATAATGAAATTAAATAAACCATATGAATGCCCTGGGACCGTTTTAAAAATGTACAAGATGAATTATTGAGCTGTAATGATCCATAATCTAAAGCGGAGGAAGCCTTGGGCCACGTGACGGACAGTCCGTGATGCTGCGCTCAGAAATGCCGCTCACAGCATGTTGGTGCTTGAGGTTATGGTCTGTTTTAATTTAAAGCTTTTTCCTCCCCTCCACAGGAATTTGTTTGAGGATTTTCTCCTCCAAGGAATAAAGCACGTTAGTCCGAATGCTCTCTGCATCCCAGTAGTGCAATGAGCAATTATTTATAAATGAGGAAGGTCCAGAAAGCAAACTTAATTTAGCCTCAGCTAATCCTTAGGCTACTTGAGGTCACAAGTCATGTATGAATGGCAATCGCAATGCCAAATTTTGTGGTTTCTTTTGGTGGAAATGTGAGGGCGAAGTGATTCCGCATATTACTTAATTGGTGCCCTTTTTAACACACTTTAAAACAAAGGGCACTTCTAGGTGAGGAATTCTGCACTCTCATTACTCAGTTTGCAGAATTTTCTGGGGGAGCAGTGATCCAGAGGATGAGAGCTTCTATTTGAAACCCTCTCATGTTTTCACACTGAGTCTAATATTTTTTCTTACCACAAAAAATCATCTGAAGAGGAAAAGCCAGAATAGCCGCAGCATGCCTTTTTATTGGGATCCACCTGGAAGCACCCACATTTTCTCCAAGCAGCTTAAACCAGTCGAAATAAAAATTAAAAACCCAACTAAAAAAAATGCCCCAACTTAAAATAGGTAAGGTAACTGCAGCATTAAAATACAACTGTAGCTAAAATCAGTTAAATTCCTTAGCCAAATAAAAGGATCAGTCTAATACCAAAAGCTTGTGAGGTCAGTTGCTCGGTGAGCGGTCCTGGGAGAGTAGGGTGCGTTGCGGAGTCGTCCGACTGCCGTCGTGGGCTTGGCTGCTCCGCTAACGGGCTGCACTGATTTTGGCATGCGGCGCCAGCCCACCGTGCCGAGGCATGCTGGAAGACCAGTGTCGAATTGTCTCAGGAGTGGACAGAGGGCTGATTCCCATGGGCCAGTTCTGGGGCTGCATTTTACACTGGCTGCAGCTTCCAGCTGGCCCTTAAAGGCAGCAGCGTGCATTGGATGGTGTCATGAGCGAGCACGTGGCTGACAGCCGACGGGCCGTCTCTGCTCCAGAAAGCGTTGCGGCATCAATCCATCAAAGGCGCTTCAAGCCGCACATGTCAGTTGGGCATCTGCAGTCCTTGCTGAATCTAATTCTTCCCCCAAACCCTGAACTTGAGCCTTGAGGAAGTCAGCAGCCTGCCCGGCCGTGTGCAGTGGACGCCCATCTTGCCTGGCCAGAGTGCCGTCTGCTTCGCACTCCTCCCGTCCGTTCGTGCACACACACACTCGGGCACCTCAGCCAGCTCCACGGAGCTTGTGGGAGAGGAGCTGTGGGGAGTGGGGCTGGCTGTTGTGAGCGCATTAACGGTTTCCCGCTCCCCGTCTGCGAACACCTCCGCTCCCTATAGACCTGCCGCATCCCGGCACTGAGCCCCTGGCCTTCTGCATCGGCTGCACCTGGGAGCCGGAGGTGTGGGCGCCAGGGCTGGGGGTGCGTTAGGAGGGCTCGTGCTCAGGCGGAGGCCCGGGAGGAGCGCCAGTGCCGATGAAGAGTGCTCCCCTTGCAGGGAGGACTGATGGCCTTGAGAGATCCGCGCAGCAGGCAGAGTCAGTCTTTGAAGAGTCGCTGCACCAGGAGCAGAGAGGAGATTGTGCGGCAGCTTTGGCTCTCTGTAATGAAGCGATCTGTAAGTAACTCTTAATTGCTTCGGCTACTGCGCTTGTAACCATTTACTAATACCTGATGTCATCACATGCAGCGCTCGAGCTGACCGGGCAGCGCGGCCAGAAGGGGTTGCGTGTTCCGGTCTTAGCTGTGCTTGGTGGCACCATCTTCCTGACCCCCGCCGTTCCTGGAGTTTAGCTTCGTTGCTTCCTTGTTCTTGCAGCTGGGCCTTTTTCTGCAATGACGGTAGGGAGGGAGGGACTGTTGTGCTCCTCCCGATGCCTGCTGTTCCAGCCGCCAGCCACCTTGCGCCCAGGATTCCCAGTCCAGAGGCTGGTATGCTGAAGAGCGCTACCCTCCCCCCACCCCCCAGGACAGTGTGTCGTTGCAGAAAGCAAGTGCCATGTGTCATTCGGTGACACCGCCGGGACAGGAGGCACCCGTGTTTGGATGAGGCCGACATGTGTGCTGTGACTCTTGGGAACATGCGCTGCTGCTTTTCTTTATTTGTTACTTCATATTGTTGATTGGCTGATTCTCCTTCCCCGCCCGCCTTCCCTTTCTTGCTGGTTAGCAGACAAAACAGATACCATGTGTCATGGCTTTGGAAGGGTGAAAGCATTTGTAGAAGACTCAGGGGGAAATGAGGCAACATGTAGACTCCATAAAGGCTCTGCTAGCGCGTGTCCCAACCGGCTGCCTTGGATTTCATATCATGACCGGACTCTTCGGTACGGAGAGCTTGGCTGCAGTGTTTGTGGCCAAAGATGACCGGCAAAGTGCACAATAACTGGTGGCATGAGGGCCTGAGTGACTCTGGTCACAGAGAAAAGGACAGTTCCTGAAAACCGTTTAAAATTTTGTTCAACTTTGTATGGTTTCAGTTCTGATTGACCTGTTTGGACACATAGCTAACCAGAACGTGCATTAATGAGGACAGATGCATCCTTGCACTCTCTTCTGTGGCAGTACTTGCATGTTCCTTTTTATGTTTTGGTTGCATCTTTTGTTTTCTCTCCCTCCCCAGTTTTGTTTTTGTTTCTGCTCTGTTTTCTTTTGCTTTTTAGCTAAACTAAGACTTGCCATGCATGACGCCAGCTCTAGCACTCACGGCAGAGCTCTAGTCGATAAGAAACTGCAAATCTGTATCCGAAAAGAGCGGAGCCTCCAGGAGAGCATGCAGCCGCAGCCGCAGCCAGCACAGCCGCCGCCGCCCACCTGCCACCTGCCACTGGGGGGGCACATGACCCAGTCGACAAGGTAGACTGAGAATGTTGCAGTACTCCAGAGCTGAACTGGGCCCAGAAAGATCTGGAAGGACGACAGGAGCATTATTTTTTCCCCTGTGTGTGAGGGATCACGTGCGTGATTCACGCCCTGAGTAACCAGGGTTTCGTGGACCTCTCCAGGCGATGGGAACGGCTGGATCTGACTTGTAGCTCTCTGAGCGCTCGGAGCACCGTCCACGGTGTGCATCCTGCCGAGTGCTGGGAACGGCTCACTGGGCGGGACGGAGGGAGCGCACGCCACAGCGTTGCTTTCCGAGGACCCACGGCGCCTGCGACGCGGGTGGGGCTTGCTGCAGGGCAGGTGGCAACTTGGCGACGTGGGCCGGGTTTCAGTGCAGGCCTGTGAGGCGGTGAGAGTGCTCTTCCCCCAGGCTGGAGAGGGTGTGGGCACAGGCAGGGTGAGCGCCCTGTGCCCCCCGGGATGGCCTGGGCGTGGCCCAGCAGGTGCCCGTGGCATTTGATCTGCAAGAGAATCGGGGGTGCTGGCATTCAGTGAAGGCGCTGGCTGTGAGGGAATGCCTGCTCACCCCTGAGCAATGGTACCGTTCTGACCCTGGGGCGTGACAGTTTTGTCAAAGTGCAATTCTATCTGGGAGAAGGGCAGGAAGATGCACGGCAACTGCTGAGTAGCAACTTTGCATTCACTGGGCAGCGAGACAGTTTTCTGGGGAAGGGTTGATAGAAACCCTTTTTGGTTTGCTGACCCGGTGAGATACTCTGTGCGAGAAGGAGAACACAGGAGATGACCATCCAAAAGAGCAACAGTTGCCTGAAGACACAGTGTGGGAAGAAACGGGCTGTGTGGGACCAGGACATGTATGCGCTGTGTGCTTGCTCTGTCGGCACCATCTCGATGAGAGGCCTTGGCAGAGCTGCTGTAGGAATGGCCCACGGGGTGCCAGGTAGCCCAGGAACCCAACTCAGACTCTGCCATCCAGTCAGTTCTTGCTTTAATTCTGAAAGTCCTGGCTTTCCTTTAAGAAGCGAGGCGAAACACAACAAAAAAGTTATGTGCAAAGAGGCAGGATTCCTTGTGTTCTTTGCAGACTCAGTCACATGTGCAGTTGTGGTTAAAAATGTTCCTCAGTGCTACACAGATCTCCAACGCTTGAATTGCAAGTCCTGGGCGAGAAAAGGATTATTTTTTGGTAATCAGCTGTACTTTAAAAATCTGTTTAACTTACAGACGGCATACAAACTAGCATATAGAATACGGGCACTTCCATCTGTTTTCCAACGTCTCTCCAGGGAAGTGGGGGGGGGGTGGAGAACGTGTTCCCAAGCCCCTGCATGGGGGCTGCCCCACTCCTCCCTCTTGCTGGGATGGGCGCTCCATCGCTCCGGGGCCTTTGGAGAAGCCGTGCCCTGCAAGTGAGCAATGGCCATCCGGGCTCCTCGCTCTGCTGCTGCTTCTGTATCTGAGAGGGGAACTGAGTTCGGGTTTTCCACAGTGCCTTGATGAGCTGAATTTTACAGCCATGGCTGGATGTAGCTGGAAACTGGTGTAACAGACACACTTCCCTTTCTCTAGCTATTTACCTCTTCACCATCCCTTCCAAAATGCGATTCATTTCGCAGATATTTCTGGCAGAATCCATACTGATTTTGCTTCAGACAGAATGCTTAACCTTTGCTTTAATAGTTATCACCATTTACTTGTCTTTGAGGGAAAATAAATTCAGTGGAAATCAGCCAATACCGCTCTGTTCTCCTTTGTTTCCAGTGGAACCTCTTATGGAAGAAAACAAGGAAAGGGCAGATGAGGCGAAATTTGCCATGATTCTAGTTAAGGGTTTTGCCTACCATGAGGCCATTTTGCATGATCAAACAACTCACTGTGGCTAATTTAAACCGCAGTGGACTGTGTTGCATCCAGTCAGCCATTCTGGATATTCAGGTGCAGCTTGCTGTGTCATACAAACCCAGGCAGTGAGGTCTGTGCAAGGCTTAAGCAACCCATACATAATCCCTGGCCTGTACCACAGTTAAACAGGCAAGCCAAGCCATCTGGTTTCAGAAGAGTGACAAGCTGCAGCTTAAATATTCCCAAACCGCCCAGCAGGCACTGCAGCCCACCGTGGCCTGGGTAGGTCACGGTGGGCTGCAATGGTCGTGCAGAGCATGCAGCGGTGCAGATGACAAAAGGGACCCGCAATAAATGTCTGGTTTGCTGGAAAAAGGTGGCAGCATTCCTCCAGATACTATCTTATGTCTCACACGGAGTAGAGATCTCTCTCCGTTAAAACAGTGCTCCTGTGAATCATAGTATTTCAAAATAAATTGAATGCAGAGTAGATCAGCAGTAAAGAACTACTACTGTTACTGTTCTTCAGTGGTAAAACTGACTCGGTGAAGTTTTGCAGGCTCTCCAAATGTTTTGGCCCATTGCTACTGTCTTGGCCATCTCCCTCACCGTTAGCTATGCCAGACGTCACCCACCCCAATATAGTGTCCATTGGCTGGATCTTCTTTGAACTCATCTTCTACATTTGCATTTTGACAACTTCAGTCATTCCTTTTAAAATAGCATGGGAGAGAAAAGCAACCCCAGGAGGACCCTCACAGAGCAAGATATGAGGTCACGAGTGGCGTCTCCCCAGCCTGGCCCGGGAGGGGACTGCCCTGACTCATGAGAGGACTCTGACGGACGCGGGGCGTGCACTGGCACCCGCCGCTCCTGCTGCAGGTTGTGTTTGTGCTTGGTGATGTTAGCTGTCTGCAAGGTGCCTGCCTGGCTGTCTGGGCGCCCGCCCAGAAGGGAGCCCTCCCTGCCTGCCCCCTCCAACTTGCCCAGGCAGTCCGGGTGGAGGCTGAAGCAGCCGCGTGCCCCGTAGTGGTGAGCTGGGGCAGGTGCGATGCAGAGGGAGGATTTCAACTGAGACGTGAGACGATTCTCCTGTAGGCAAGTGCCCGTGACTGACTGCGATTCTGCTTGTATTTCAGTGAACCGACTGTCCCGCTCCAAGTACTGCTGAGCCAGAAGACGGTACTGGAGCCCAGCAGAGGGGCAGAACTGGTGTCCAGTCCTCGCTTCCACCCACCCGCTTCCCATTGTGAGACGCCACCATCGTGTCCCGAGCCCTCTCCCCCGTGCCCGGCTGAAGGCGGCCCCTCTGAAGCGGCCTCCCTGAATGCTCTCACTGCTTCTGCTGGCCTCCGGGACCCAGCCCCCTCTTTTCCACGTGGACACGGGGCGGGTGACGGGTCCATTCACACTAAGAACGACGTCCTCTGGGATGGGGAGCTTGAGGGAGCACCTCCCATGAGTTTCAAGAATAAGGACTGCAGCAGTAGCAGTAAGCTCAAAGAAGTACTTCGCGTAACAGCTTCTCTCACGCCGCCATATTGCAAAATGCAGTTTAACACGGTAAACTCTGGATCTCTGCCGACGCTCTTCCCCTCCCCCCACGCAGTGCAAGAGCCACCGGATCAGAACGGCCTGCACTACTCGTGTTTGGGGCCATCCGGCCGGTCAGTGCAGCCGCGTGCCTTGCAGCACGGACCCCCTCCCGCCCTCGCACTGGCCTCTCTCGCCCCCTTGCTGCACCACCCCTCCAAGCCTTCCGAGGCCACCGGCAGGTACCTCACAGCACACGACCCTGAGAGCTTCCCTCAGCCGCAAGAAGAAGTTGTTCCTGGGGATCATTTGGGAGCTGCAGCGACCCACACCAAGGGGCACGTTCGCTCCCTGGCGGAACAATTCCAGCGGCTGCAGGGGGCCTCCCAGAGAGAAGTCTCTCTCGGGAAGGTGGCGGCCCATCATGATCAGAGCGCACCAGGGTTGCCGCCAGAATCCTGCTCAGGCCCTCCGTTCCACAGTCACGGGCTGCTGGTTGCTGGAAGGCAGGAAAGCCGAGCTCAGCCTGCTGAAAGGTGGAGTGAGCGGAGTTCTGAGGACTGTCTTGGTCCTCGCGGCGTAGTTGCCAAGAGTCCCGCGCTGCATCGCCAGGAGCCCTGCGGCCAAGGGAGACCCGGTGCTGCGGATCCCGAGCGCCACCCGGGCAGGTTCCGTCACAAGGGCGAGGCGAGGCAGGTGGCGGACAGGCATCCTGCTGGCTTGGCCTGCTGGGTGGACAGCGTTCACAGGTACCACAGCTCTCCTCTGGATGGCGAGACCACCCGCTGGCTTCTGGGGCCTGGGAGCAAGCCCGGTGCGTCCAGCCCAGCAGCTTTTGGGGAGGATGCCGTGCAGAGGCACCCGTGGTGGGACGAAGACGCCGAGCAGGAGGGTTCCGAGCTGGAGTCTCTGTACCGGGCCAGCTTGCAGGCACCTCCGACGAGCCTCTCTGCGTCGGGGAGGCTGGATGGCTCTCGGCACTTGCTGGGCAAGACAGGTAAGCTCCCTGTGAGCACTGCTTGGCTGTAGCCTGGCAAGGAATCTGGGCTGCGCCTGGTGAACGCGTCCTGCAGTGCAGGAACAGCGTCCGGCTTCCCACTGTGGGCCGGTGGCCTTGCAGGTGTTTGGCCTGCATCAGTCCTTTAAAAACCTGGGAGGAAAACCTTTTATGAATCAGTTTGCAGAGTCTTTCTGTTACTTAGCTGTAAGCACACATTTTTAAGGGTTTTGGAAAAGACTCGGCACAAATCACACACAGGAGTTCCTGTTACTGGGGAATGCGCCCAGGGTTTTGTTTCCATCCATCCAAGTTGCCTTGCTCTGCTGCTGATCGGTGCGCGTTCCCTGTGGAGGAAGCCCTTGTGCAGGAGCCTCCCAGCTGCTCCTCCTCATGCCAGGCTGCTCAGGTGGCAACCAGCCAAAATCCCAGCCATGGTTCCTCCAGGTCCAGCTGGCAAGTCCGACCCCAGGGCTCCCCCACACGCGAGGCGAGCGGCTTTGCTGCAGCTCTCGCTCTCACCCACAGTGCGTCTTCAGGAAGAGCTGCCTTCTCAAAGTAACATTTGCTTAGTTATTCAGGGCCAGTGTTTCTGTACTTGCACAAATTCCACTGAGGTTTTTCCCAGCACCATAAAACACAGAGCAGTGCAAAGCAAAGCAGGGAAGGCATCATAGGGCCGTGTTGGAGGTGGTTCCAGGCAGTTGCGGGGAGAGGAAGGCGAAGGCAAAGTTACGCTTTCAAAAGGCACCGTGGCAAAGCTGCAGGGGGGATCGCTCCACTGGCTGGTCACTGGAGAGGAGGTCCCCCGACCCAGTGGCTGCCACACGGGAACCTTCTGGCTGCCACGTGGCCCGCAGGCCCCCCTGCAGGTTGTGGTGCCCAGGGAGCCGGGTTGGGCCAGCGGCGTGGAGCCTGTGGCTTCAGGCAATGCCGCTCTCCAGAGGCCGGAAGGGGCTGGCAGAAAGGCTGCCGGGGTCCCTGCTCCCGCTGGCGGCACCCCCCTTGCACCCTCCCTGGCGGGGGAGGTGTGGGACAGGTGCCCCCCTTCTGAACAAGGCGCCATCTGAAGGGGCGCTCCAGGGAGAAGCCCCCGCACAGCAGAGCCAGGCCCTGGCCATTGCCCGGCTGAGGCAGGCTGCTCGGCCCATGCGTCTCGTTCTTCGCGTGCCGGGCAGAGTGGTGGCAGCAAGTGGGGCAGGCCGGCCACACGCTCGGCCAGTCTGGGAGTCCAAGTGATGCCTCCCAGGGCAGACAGAGCACTCCCGAAAATGGGGGCCTCGGAACAAGCCCTGGGCTGCAGAGCAGGTGTTTTTGAGACCATCAAAAAGTGGGCGATGGTTGATATGGGCGGGGGCGATGGCAAGCCAGAGGACACTGGGAATCCTCCCAAGCATTTGGCAGGTTGGTTGGGCTTGTTGCCTTCAGTAGCTTGCAAAGCTCAGCTACTTCCGTGGTCATTCTGGGCTGGCAGAAGAACCCCAAATACTCCATAGAGACATTTAGAACTTCGGTTTAATCCCATTTCTTTCTGCCTTTCTTTGACAGCATCTGCAAATTTCCCTACAAGAAAGGCGCACCATGCAGCTTACGTGGGTCTCCCGAAAACCCCAGATGCAGAGATCGAGCGCAGCCTCTGTGGGACTGCTGTGCCTCCAGTCCCTAAGGTAGAGGCACCTGCAGGGAGGAGCTGGGAGGGGGCTTTGTCAGGGGGCGCTGGATGCGACACAGGCAGGCGACGTTCACGAAGCACTGGAAGCAGAGCAGCCCCATGCTTTTAAGTGGCTTCGTGCCTAATCAGCACTGCAAAGGGGAGCAGCTAGCAGTGCTTGCCGGACGATTTCGGAGTGACGTGCCTCTTACGATCAGCTGTGCGTGAAAGAGTAAGTCTGGAGGCGCTGCGTGACGGAGCGGTGCCGTTCCGAGCATTCTTGCTTCAGAGCATTGGTGTGCTGAGTCGCGTTGCAGCACTTGAAGCGCTGCCTGCTCTGCCGGTCTGGCGGACGCCTCGAAGAGCAAAGCGGATCCTGAAGGTCCTGGTGCTCTTCCTTCGCACTCTGCAATGAGCGTGTGTGGGAGGGCTGAGACGAGTGGGGGGACTTGAGGGGCACCCGGGTGTCTGCCCTCCAGCAGTATGCTGAGCCCGTGCTGCCCCTTCGCCGGGCCGGGTCATGCCCTGCTCCCACTTTCCACGGGGGACTTTCTGAATGTGGCAACCCCTTTGCAGGTGCCATGCGCGGGAAAGCACGGAAAGGAGCCAGAAGAGGAGATGTACAGTGCAGAGAACTTCCGTCGCATTGCACGTAGTCTCAGCGGGACGGTCATCGCGAGCAAGGAAGAGCCTCTTGCTTCTTCCTACAGTTTCGTAAGTAGAAGAGTCAAAGGGAAGTAAGCTTGGGTTGGGCATTTTCTCTTCCTTTGTCAGCATTGTTGCCGAAGCCAGAAAGGGAAGAACGTGTGTTTTGACAGCCTGTTTCACAAGCAGTTCAGAGTATCTGTGCCATTGGCCCACGGGGCCCTCAGCACTCGCGCTGCGTTTCTGGCACTCGCCCTCCGTTCCTTTCCCTCTTCCCCCGTAGCTTCAGAAGTCACGGGGAAGGTTCGCGCGGCACCCCAGAGAGACAGCTGGACTTGCCTCAGCGTCTGCTCAGTCCTCACTGCCCGTCGCACCCCTTGCCCCTTTGCCGCAAAGATCACTTTGTCTCCCAGTCGTGTCCCTTTCCCTGCTCTGATCACCACCATTTTTCGCTCCCTGGCTTTTTTTTTCAGTTCAGAAATACATAGATTGAATTGTATTTTGTATTGTTATTGGTTATGAATGACGGCAACTGTTCCAGAAAGAGCTGCAAAAAGGGGTGGGGAGCTCGTCTGAATTCCCTTTCTGACTTTCCGGAGGCTAAGGGAAGTGTTGAATGGAGGCGTGCCAGTGTGGCTGATAAAAGCAAGAGGACGGCATTGCCAAGTGGGGAGACAGTTCCTGGGCACGCCTGGGCTGCGCCGCCTCTCCCGACGCAGGTGCTCAGCTGAGCCACGCAGGGAAATCAGCAAGACGAGGCGGCCCATAATGGTGAAGGCACATGACTGCACCTGCAGGGAGGCGAAGCAGAAAAGCAGGGGGCAGATGGGACAGTTCCTTCAAAGGACCTTGTGGCCGTCAGCGGAGGGGCAGCCGCTGGTGAGGCCACGGAGAGCAGCACGGGCCCTCCGAGCGCCTCTGCAGCCCCCACAGCACCGTTCCCTGGTTCTGGAGGACTTGACAACCCATCGGGTGTACGAGCGATGCTGCAAGAGGCCGCAGGGCCCCGCGGTGGCCTGCTCACAAAACCTGAGCTGCCCCGTGGGGAACACGCCTGACCTGGATGCATGGCCACTCACTGGTCATGTGGCCGGTTGCCTGTGCTGGCTGGCAAGCGACTGACATTTTAACTTCCTTGCGGTCCCCTTTTTGGAGCTCATTTCTCTGTCCAAAGCTCTTCCAAGTCGTGAGAAGCCGCAGTATTCGTAGCTTCACCTCCAAAGACGTGCTCAGCGTTCCGTCCAGAGGTTTTGCATTTGCTAGTGGGATCAGCTGGAGACAGGAAGCACGCGGTCCGTGCCATGCGTCGAGCCTCCTTCTCCGGGAAGGGAGGGGCGGTGGCAGCTTCGCCCGCTCTGCGAGGAGGAAGGGGTTGTCGATCCCGCCTCAGGTCCACCCCGGTCCACCTTTGCCCAGACGCTCTTTCCCCTTCCCCACCCTTCCTCTTGTCTTCACACTGACACGTCTTCACCTTGCAGGCTCTGGCGATGCGGAATGTTCTTTATCTTCACAGGAACAATTCAAAACCTGCTGACATAGTCTGGGACGTTGGAGGGACTGAGCTGCATTAATGAGTGTAGTGCAGTTAGGAAGCAGAATGCTAAACATAGAAAAATAGAAACAGAGCAAGTCAGAAGGGGCTTCCCAGGCCATCTAGTCTGACCCCTGCCTCCAGCCGGCTCCGCTCACCACATGCTCACGGATGGGGCCTCAACGACCTCTGGTGGAAGCCCATCCCACCCCCTCGGGGTCCCGACTGTCAGGAAGGGCTTCCTGGCATCTAACTGGAACCTGGGTTCCCTGAGCTTTGCTCCGTTGGCACACATCCTGCCTTCCTCTGCAGGGGAGAACAGGTCTCTCCCCACCTCCGTGTGACACCCCCTCACATACCTGTATGTCGCCAACAGATCCCCTCTGAGTCTTCTCCAGGATGAAGAGACCCAGCTCCCTCAGTCTCGCCTCGTACAGCATCCCCTGCAAACCGGCCACCAGCCTTGTGGCCCTGCGCTGCACTGACTCCAACCTAAGCCTTAAGCCCTAAGCCTTTTTTAATTATAGGATTCTAGACTGGGAAAAGAAAGAGAGGAGTTTCCGCCAGGTCCAGAATGCCTGCTAGGGTGGTGAGAGATGCTGTTTCGGGAGGAGCGTCTGCTGGGGGATTTGGCTGCTTGGTTCTGGAGGACCTTTCTTGCGCTCCCACGGGGAAGCCTGGTGCTTCGGGCTGGGCTTCTCGGCTTCCAGGATGTCCACTGCCCTTCCAGGTGCCAGACCGACTAGCATCCACAGCTCCGTGGCCTCTGCCCAGCACTCATGCCACTGTCCCACACTGGCACTGCTCCAGCGGCCTGTGAGGGCTGTGGGCAAGCAGGAGCTGAGGTGACGCAGGAGGCAGGGTTTGCTGCCCCCGGGCACACGCCATGCGCGCGAGGCTTGGACAGCGTGGAGTGCTTGGCCCTCGCCGTGAAGCACAGCAGTTGGAATTTGCCTTTCCCAACACCAGCATATTTTATGATGATATTATTTTGGAGTCGGCAATTTGTATATATTGGGGAGTGTTGCGTAAAGTTTAGCTGTTGTTTTATTCAACTGCTTTCTAAGTTTGCAAGATCAGAAAGGAAACTGCAAAAGTTTTGGTCAAAGTGCTGGGAACCATATGCGGAATTAAGAAATAGAGAATTGCTTTCTTGGATCTTCTTGCGGCCTTGGTCTTCTGGTGGGTTCAGTTACTGACCAACCTTAAAGATGGACTGACCACCTCAAATCATTTTTCAGTATCTGAAACAGGGTTTGCCTTTTAACTGTGTGGTACCAGAGTTGCAGTCTGGCCTTCTTCTGAATTAGTTCTGGCATCCAAATTAAAGCCGGTGAAGACGGAATCGGGCACATTCTCCTGCAGTGCGTGTCTCAGCACCCCAAAGGGCCCTCGTGCTGCGGACAAGACAGAAGTTGGGGTGGGCGGAAATAAGCTCGCGAGCTGCCCGAAGTCTGCTCACGGCAGGTGGTGGAGGTGCAGCTAGGGAACATCCTGTACAGACGGTGGCGTGAGGCGCTCAGGGCTTGGCTCCATCTGTTGTTTCATCCGTGTCTGAGTGTCGCATTAGATGTTGCAAGTCTCCATGGCAAATTAAATAAGCTTTTAAAAAAACCTTCACCGTCGTTTTAAAAGTTCAGCAAGCGCAGTGGCTGCATGCGCCGCTTGCACACTCCGCTCTGGGTGCGCAGCCTCGCCCCAGCGGTGCTGCCCGGTCCACGTCTGCACCCGCCTGCCTGCTTGCCCCCCTCGCCGGCCCCGTCGGTCCCAGTGCCACATTTAACCTCCATTTTCTATTCTATTTCCCTCTTTCCTTCTGTCAAAGGAAATGTCCAATGGGAGGAAAATGCCAGTGGAAGCCAGACTCCGTTCTTCCAGCACCTCTTCCCTCACTTCCCCTCACGACTCTCCTCCCGTGTTTCCCCTCGGTCCCCAGCACCGTTCCGCCCAGCCGCCGCACACCGATGAGGCCCCCGTGCCTGGCATGGTAGGCAAGGCTCGCAGGCCAGCAGGTAATCGCCCAGCTCTGCGCCTCTCGCTTCTGCGGCGCCACAGCCCTCGGAACCGCGCCCCTCCGTGATGGCGGCAAGCGTCAGCTCACGTCCTGTGCTGCTCGGCCCCGTTGTGTTAGCAGTGTCCTGCCATCAAGGGGGTGTCTGCACAGTCCCGTGACGCCTGCTCCTCCTGACTAGACCAAATGGAAAGCCATGGCATCACGTGGTTTTGCTTCTGTGCTAGCTAAAGGCCTGAAGCCTGACGTGTGAGTGGGGTGAATTCCAGTCGCTTCCACACCCATTCCCCACAGCCCCCCCCCCACGAAAGCTTTGGCTGTGGAGGAGCGGAGGGGGTCAGCCCTTCCTGACCCAGCCCACCTGCTTTTGGGGTCAGCTCCTGCTTTGGGTCTGTGGCCCCTTCCTTGGCCCCCAGAGCTGCTTTTAGGATGTATCTTCCTCTCCCAAAATGACCCCCATTGATGGTAGCAGAGCACCTACTGATCGGGGTTACATCTCACTCAGAAGGGCCCGAAAGGCGGCACTTTCTGCAGCAGGAAGGCATGGCCATCGTCCACCTTATTTGGGGGAGAGTAAGGTCGTTTGTGCAGAGTGCTGCTTGTTACTCCCGCCTACTGCATAACGGTCTCTCTGCAGCAAAAGCGTTTGTCAGTTGAAGGTCTCTCGCAGGGGTCTTGGCAAATGTTCTCAGTAAGCACAGGGCATCCTGGCTGCCTGGTCTGTGCACCTTGATCCTGTACATGTTTGCACAGACACCCTTCTGGGTTTAGGAAGATTTACTTTCCGGTGAGTGTGCTCCGGGCATCAGCCTTAGTCACTGTAGCTCATTCATTCAGGTGGCATCCGAGCTCAACTTTTAAAACCTGTACCTTCTGTTAAAACCCAAGATGAACCCTCACTGTGCCATAGCCATTTCTGCCAGCCGTCCCTGAGCCGCATTATTTGAAAGGAGTGCAGTTATGCAGCAGCTGCAGCGTCGGCCTGTGGGGCTTGTGCCATGCATTGGGTGAAGTCTGTGTGATGCGAACAGCCTGCGCACCTGCCAGTGGCCAGCCAGCCCCCCACTACCTCCCCGGAGGGGCTGGCGGGGTCCCTGCTGCTGTGGCAGCGCTTTGGTCCTCTGTTAGCCTTGCCGGAAGCATGACGGACAGCCATGTTTTTGTCTGCCTGGCGGGAGGAGGGCTGGCTGAGCTGCGGCTGCTGCCCTGGCAGAGCCCATGGACCTGGAGCCGCTCTCCTCGCTCTTCTTTCTGGAGCAAAAGTGGCCAGCATTTGCCGGTTCCAGGTTGAATGGCAGGAACTGTTCGGCCCCTTCGATCCATTCCTCTCCTCCGAATTGGTCTGGCCATGTGGGGAGACCAGGGGCCTTTGAACCGTGTGACGCCTCAGCCCCCCACCCAGACCCGAGGCCGCATCCTTGCCTGCTGCAAGCGGTCGCGCCTCCATGGGAGAGGGCGATGCGGCCAGGGCAGCCTCGTATGGCCGAGCCAGCAGTCCCCTGGGCTGAGCGGGGGGGGGGGGCGGGGGAGAGCGTCCAGAGTGCAGTGACCGTGCCCTGCGCTTGGCATGCGGCATTCAAGAGGCGTCCCTCGAGCCCGGTTCCGGGGGTGGCCCTCGGTGGCCTGCAGGGGCGAGCGCCTCAGTCATCTGCTGTGACCCGAGCAAGGCCGAGATTCCCGCGAGCCTCTTTAAGCAGCGGTGAGGGTTGAATAGCAACTAGCAGCTGCACGAAAGCCACCTGGAGACCGGAGCGGGGGACAGAATCGGTCCGGAGTCGGCAGTCCGATCATGGCTGCGCACACGCTCTGGCAGTAGCCTGTTGGCCTGCAGTGCCTGAACCGCCAGTTGTTCTCGCGCACGGGACATGCGATGTCGGCGTGACCCATTCTGGCAACGCGTCTCCCCCTCGTGTGATCGGTTCGAAGCCTTGCTCGGGTCAGGGAGCTGCCCGAGTGCTTCGAGCTCGAGGAAGCGGCACCTCCTGGCTTCATGGCTCTCGCTGTGGCCGCCTTGGGCCTTTCCCGCAGCAAGGCTGCAACTGAGCTTGACGGGAGTGTTGGGGCTAGCTGATAGATACGCCATTCGTACCTTTCTAGATACATGGCTGGCATATATTGTTTTGATACTTGCACTGGGGTGAAATAAACTGTATTCTTTCCTTGTTCTCAGGAGATCAGAAGAACTTCCAAAACATTCTGGCTGTGCCTAACAGGAGTGAAACTTTCCAAGGCAAAGACAGCCGAGGTGTGGCGCTGAGTTACGGGATGCTGACCAGCCCCGCTTACCAGCAGCCGGGCCTGTCTTATCAGGGGCCAGTACATCTCCTTAATAAACACTTAGGAAGCGAAGACGCATCCGAAGCCTGCAGTCGCTGGCTGCGGATGAATCACACTGCCAGACACATGGCAACTCTGCCAACCAGACAAGCCCCTCTCTGGGGATTTGGTGCTCAGGCGTGCGCAGGACCACCAGAGCACTCGCACCCAGCGCCGTTCCAGCACAGCAGGCACGAGGCCTGTGCCGCGGACGGCGGGCCTCCCCGTGGCAAGAGCAGCAGCACCGGGGGAAGGCCGCGTCCGGCCCCTGGCGATGGAGCGGGCTTCCAGGGCTGTCCTGTGCCTCCCGCGCACGCGAAGGCGCCGGGCCCGCGAAGGGTGGACATGCCGCCCGAGGAGGATTGGCGGCAGAACAGCTACACCCTTCAGCCTGGAGCGCGGAGAGCTCCCTCGGCCTGCACGATGGGCGGCGCGTACGCATCTGCGCTTCAGCGGAAGGCGCTGGCCTGCCCGGCCGCTGCCCCCACGCACGGCAGCGGCTGGTGAGGGCTCGGCCTCCGGCGCAGGCACTTCCCACCGGAGACAGCAGGCCCTCCGTCCACGCCTGCCCTGCTCCCTTGCGGCAGCTGCTCCGGAGGTGGAGGTGGAGGTGGAGCTGGTTGCCCTGGGCTCTGCTGCTCTCCGGGCGGGTCCCTCTCGGGAGGGAGGGGCTCGGTGGCGCCCCTCCCCGCCTTTTCCCCCAGGACCAGTGGAGGCTCGCTGCCAGGGGAGGGGCTGGAGGGTTGCACGTGGACCGAGAGGAAGGCCTGTCGCTGGCAACAGGCAGTTCGTGGAAGCACTGCTTCGTGCGGCGCCGCGATTCAGCCGGGCTGGCACGCGGAGTCCCCCTTCTCCGACCGCATTGGGTATGGCGAGGCGGACGGGCTCCTCTTCCCCCCAGCTTAGAAATTTGGCGGTGCTGATGGGCTACTGAGGCAAGTGTGTCTTTGTGCCGAGATACTTGGCACAAATGCAGGTGCGAGTGAGGAAGAGGACAGCAGGCCGACTCCAGCGCAAGCAGGACTTTCTCCCTGAAGCGGATTGAACAGTGTTTCAAAGAGCAGAGACTGCACAATTCATTGTAACATTGTAAACACAGAATCGCTTTAACTGTTTTAGGGTTATAACATACTTGCCTTTGTAAGTATTTTTCAAATAAATCTATGAAATAATTATATGCATTGTGTGATGAATTGCTTTTACATTTTTCAAACAGGTGATTTAGAAATTGGCACAAGTTTCTTGCTGTGCACGTTCCTGCTCTTTCCTTGTCTGTCTCCCTGCGATCCGATTTGGGGCTGCCCCCGCAGAGATTCCAAGACACCCCCTTTCACGGGAACCCAGTTCCCCATTTTTGCTCGCAAAGCTCAGAACTCGGGGAGCCCATGGAGCTGCCCCAGCTCCCCTGCTCTGGCTGTCACGAGGTTACCTGCTGCTCGGGATTGGCATACTAGGTTGAAAGAGAAGCACCCTTTTTTCAACAGCTGTGCTTGGAAAACTGCGGCAGGAAGAGGCCCTCTCCTTCTGGAGAACCTGGAGGCTCGGGAATGGCAGGGCCCGGGAAGAGTCAGGGCAATGCTAAGAAACTGGAGGAGCCCCTCGGGACAGCAAGAGTCACTCCACCCCTGCCCTTTGGGGTGGATCCACTCTCCAAAGTGCAGCTGTCACAGGTGGCCCCGAAAGCGAGCGAGCACGCGAGCGCAGAAAGCAGCACGATCAGAGCAGGAGGGGAGGGAGGCAGGCTGTGCCTGCGGCACCCCGGGGTCCCGTGAGGGCCAAGTGGTGGGAGGGGGAGCCCCGTGGGAAGCCCCCGGTCTGCTGTGCGCGTGCCGGTCAGCCCTCCCTGCAGGCGGACTGTGCTCCCACGAGCCCTGCCCAGCCTCAGTTTCCCAGGGAGGGAGCCACTCGGCTCCCTTCGGAACAGGTGGGCACATTATCTCACCGTTAATGTTTCAGAATAAGACAAGTGGCATGTATGAGCGAGTTGTGCGCATGGCCCTGCTAAAAGAACTGCGGCAATTCAGACAACACATGTCTTAATTTCCATCGCAGCATACAAGTGGTGCTAAACTAAGGCAAATCTGTGCACGAAACAAAAGCCCGTCAAATCAGTCAAAGCGTCTGGGTTTGAAGCGTCTGGGGGAGCGTCCGCCCTTCCGTGCAGCGACTGCTGCGGCGTGGCTCCTTCTTCCCGGCCTGGGTGGCTCGCTACTGACCGACGATGGCCAGAAGCAGGCGCCTGTAGTCCCCGCTGGTGTCGCTCGAGATCATCGTGGCCAGCGTCTTCTGGAACATCTGTGCAAATACCTGCTTGATTTGCACAAGATCGATCTGTGCCCAAGCAAAGGGAAAGCCGTGAGCACGCGAAGCCCCTCGGAATGCCCAGGAGGCCGGGTGGACGGGGGCCTCCCGCCTGGCCTCGCCCGGGCCTCCCAGGAAGCTCAGCAGGCAGAGGACGCATCTTGCACCACAGGCACATGGGCCTCTGCACAGCACACGCCACGCCTGGGCCACCGCTGCCCGCGTGCCTCGGCTGGCTGCTGGGAAAAGGCGAGAAGCGGGAGAAGGCTGGACACAGCAGGGGGCGGCCCTCACGAACTGGGGGGGGGGGGGCGCTGCACTGTGCAGCCCCAGGTGGTCCGGCACCGTTTCCCGGGGACCCTCACCCGTGCTCTGCCCCTCCCTTGGGGCCCCTTCGGTGGCAGGTTCTGGTCGGCCGGCATCACACTCGGCACAAGTGAGCCGGTGGGGGGCAGAACCCCTGCTCTCGGCCACACAGAGAATCAGAACAGGCAGAAGAGACTCGCGCAGCTGCACCGGTGGGGCGTCTGCCATGTAAAGGCGGATTGACTGGCCGCCCGGGGGCGGTGGCCGTTTCCCGCCCTTCCCGGTGCGTGAGCAGCGCTGCTGGCCAGCCCTGCCTTCTGCAGGAGGAGGCAGTTGGCGTGGTCGCAAACTGGCTGCGAGTGCGGAGGCGAGGGCCCTCGGCTGCACAGGGGCTCTTTGGAGGATGGGGCCCGAATCTGGTGCGCCCGCTCAGCAGGAAGGGCTCCAGCTGGACCTGGTGGGACGCCTCCTCTTGCAGCCTGAGCGCTCACATCCTGCGGGGCCTCGGGTGCTGCTCCTCCCGCAGAGCTGTGTGCGCGCCGGCCCGCCCGCCACCTGTCCTGCTGCCGCCGCCTCGAGGCGGAGCGCCTCTCACCTCGCTGCGGGTGACGACGATCCTGATCAGGGCGGAGTCATCTGTGCCGGCTCCCTTCATGGCATGGTAAAGCCTCTCCGCAAAGAAGGCTGGGCGGTTCAGCGCGCACTGCACTGCAAGGGAGACCATTCGGTGCTGTGGTGGCAATGCGGGGCCGCCACCGTCCAGGCCCCGCCAGGCACGGCTCTGCTCCCTCTGCCCACGGCTTCCACTTGCGGGGGCTGCTGCTCCAGCACAGCACGGGAGAAGGGGGAGCACGCCATGCGGGTCCCCGGAGTGGCCGTCTTCCCTGCTTCAGGCCGTGGGGCTCGCTTCAACCCTAATCCCTCTCGTGCAGCACTTCTGGGGTGCACTTTGGGGGCACGGGCAGACAGTGTGCAAGAGCAGCCAGGGCCGCCTCCCCCTCCAGGCTTCCCCAGCCCCTCCCCCCCATGCCTTCACACTGAAGCCTCAGAGCAGGGGAGGCAACCTGTGGGGAGGGGGCTGTGGAGCCGTGGGCCAGGGGAGGGGTGCGCCTTGCAAAAAGCTGGCTGGCTGGGAGGCAGGATGCGAGAGCGAGCATCCAGCCTGCCTGTGGATGCCGCCAGCCCCGGGAACCGTGCACAAGCCACGCTGGGCTCCTTTCCTGCAAGACTGCTGATGCAGGTACTTACTGGCTGAAAGCCCTGGACTGCTACCAAGATTAACACTAGTGGGTTCTAGAGAACAGAGCGAGAGCTGCCTCTCCTCCAGTCCCAAGGCAAAGCTTTCCCCAGAGAGCTTGTCTGGAAAGGACCGGGACGTGTGCCAAGAAAGCATGCATTGCCAGGAATCCTCTCATTTGGAAAGCTTCAGCCTGCTGAGCTGTGGTGGCGAAGGGCCTCAAGTGCCTGTTCTGAATACGGGGAACCTTCCTGTGCAGCTTCTCCAGCCATTGCAGGCACTTGAAAACCACAGGAGCTCAGCACGGAACGGCCAAATGCAGGGCAAGTCACTTACGGATGGCCTTCAAGCCACGTTCCACGTTTCCCGAGAACTCCCGACCAATGCTGCTGAGCAAGTCCCGGTTAGCAATCTGAAAGCAGAGGGTAGGGAGAGGTCGGCCCTTGCCAAAGGGCTGGCGGAAGTGAAAGCCACCCCGAAGTCTCCACCGGTATGGACCCGGGGCAGACCGAGGCCTCCCCCCGGGGCCCGGCCCACCTGTGAGTAGGCCTCCGCGGTGGCCTGCAGCTGGGGGAAGCTTCGGCAGGCCAGGAGCATGTTGAAGCAGGACTCGTCGGTGCCCAGCCGCCCCTCGCCCGCCTGGTACAGCCGCTGCGCGTCCTGCTGAGCCTTCTGGTAATCCACCGCTGGGCTCTCCTCCCGGTTGCCCTGCAAGGAGAGGGCACTGGCAGCAGGCTGGCTCCCGCCCCCCGCGCCGGATCCCGCGCAGGCAGCCGCGCCACTGCCTCCCAAGCCCTGCCTCAGCGCGCCTGCTGGCCAGGTGCTGCCCGCCCCATCCCGGCTCTCAGGCAGGGAACCGCTCGCCTGGCGTCCGGCCAGGGCAGCCTCCGCCTTGCCAGAACGCGTGGGGAGCAGAGAGGCGGAGGCCGCGCCGAGGAAGCCCGGGGGGGGGGGGCTGGGGGGCTGCCCGGGGCCAGTCTGGCGCCCAGCCCGGGACAGGAGAGGATGCCAGCCTCACCTGACACATGGACACGAGTAAGCGCTCGAAGTGTCCTGAGGTATCCGCCCGAATGTCATGCTCGATGTCTCTGCCAAATTCAGTCTTGTAACACTGCACGATCTCGCGGATCTCCTGGTTGGTCCTCGTGCAGAGAATCTCGATCAGCACGCTCTCCTGCGTCCCTGCGCCCTGCAAGCAGAGAAGCCGCGCGAGTCAAAAGGGGTCTCCCGGGCCATCTAGTCTGACCCCAGCTCCAGCCAGGGCCACTCGTGACACGCCCACCGCGGGCATGTCCAGCCTCCCAGAAGAACACAAGGGCCGGCTCATCCCCGAGGTGCCGAGGGAGCAGCCCGCAGCAGCATTGCCAGCACCACTCTTCCAGCCCCCGGCTGGAGCCCCAAGCCCACCCTGCCGTGCCTGCTGCTCGGGCCTGGGCCTGGGCCGCCCCCCGCGGCCGTTTCCCAGGCCCACAGAGCCCACGCTCCTGCGCGGCAGGTGCGGTTTCACAGCGTCTTTTATGACGCAACGTTTTCCAGCGGCAGTCCCACCTTCATGGCGTGCCGCAAGCTCCAGGCATCGTAGTAAGTGGTCGGCATGAACAGGGCGAGGATCAGCTCTTCCACGTTTCCACTCAGCTCTGACTTCAGGTCTTTGATCAAATCCTGCCGGGTGCAAAGCAAGAATCAGGAGGACACAGCTGGCCCCCACTGGCACCACGCGGCACGGCTCGCCTCCTGGCGTTTCTTCTTACTGGAGCCCCGCCGCACAAGGCCGGGCACGGCCAGTGAGCGCGCTCTGCCTCGAAGCGGACAGGCCGGCTGCCCCGCGGCTGCCGCTCCCCAGCCCTCGGACGGACGGCCTGCCCCGTACCTTGCCGTACATGGTCTTGAAGGCAGTCTTGATCTGCTGCCTCTGGAGGTTGGAGCGGTTGGCCACGACGTCAATGATGGCCTGCTCGTCTGTCCCTAGGGAACAAGCGCGCCAGCCAGGTGGGCCACCAGCAGGCCACGGGCCACGGGCCAGGGCGGCCCCCCCACCCCACGCGTCTGGGGAGGCAGGCAGCTGGGCGGGACGTGGGACTCGCGGTGGCCACTCGGGCGGCCAGGGATGTCCTGGGACCGCTTAGCGTGTGTTTTCGGCCATCCAGGCCGGGCGGGAAAGCGTTCAGCGGTGGGGGGTGTCTGCCGAAAGCTCTGGCCACAGCTGGGCTCCTGCTGAGGGGTGTGGAGGGCCCCCCCGCCCAGGGTTGCCCCCGCTGCCCCCCCACAGGCGCCTGGGCTATTGCAGGCCCCTCTGCTCCTCCGCTGCAGCCCAGGGGCTCTCCAAAAAGTCTGAGCGGCTGGCGGAAAAGTACGGGAAATGGGGGAAGAAGCAGTTCTGCCCGGGGGCAGCGTCAGAGAACGGGGAGGGAGAGGCTGCGCCCCCAAGCGACGCCCGAAGCCGCAGCAGCTCGTCAGCTGCGTGAGCAACACCCAGAACAGCCGCGGGAAAGGAGCCCTCCTCTCGCCAGGGCAATGACGGCACGAGCCGCCAAACGCGGCACGCTTACCGAAGCCCTTCATGGCCTTGCGCAGAATTTCCACGTCTCTCCCGGCGTCAAAGGCAGGCGCCGGCCGGATCGTGCCTTGCATCGCCTGCGTCACGGCCGCGGGCTGCAGACGAGAGGCTGTCATCACCGGCGCCCTCCGGTGCCCTTTCGCAGTTTCCCCCATTTTGCCCAACTGCGGCCCGCCCTGCAAGGCTGTCGTGCTGCGCCCAAGAGGCAGAGCGCCCCCTCCCCACAGGCCCTCCAAGAGGGGGAGTTTTCCAAGCGGGAAACATGCTTTCGATTGGAAGTAGACCGTGTGACACGGCTGTGGGTCCATGAGCTGCCCCAGCAAAAGCGCAGCTGTGCCTTCAGGCGGTTCCTGTGACCCAGGCCGGGGCAGCGCTCCCCGGCGCCCGACTCGCCATCAGGGTCGCCGCCACCACTGCTGACCCCAAAATCAGGCGCTCGTCCCGAAACAGGAGTGGCGCCCCAGCTGCATCGCGGTCCCAGGATGGATCCAGAGGCAAACGGGATCTTCAGCCCCTTTGTGGGGGCAGCGGCCGGCCACGGTGGCCACGAGCCATGCTGTGCGGGGCTTGCCCGCTGCGTGGGCTGCCACGGGGGCCAGCTGGGCGAGTGGGGGCCACGTGAGCGCTCTGGCAGCGATCGGCGCTCCCCGGGCTCCTCGCGTGATCCAGGCCGGGTGACCAGCGCTGCAGGCGCCTGTCCCTGCTCCTTTCTCTGCAGCGAGACCCTTGGCGTCGCCTGCCCTGAGCAATTGGCCTCGCAGGTGAGGCCTCCGTTGCAGGGGGGCACGGATCCCCGGCAAAACCCAGCCGGGAGCCCCCAGCCCCCCTCTGCACTGCCCTCTCTACCACACCCGTGAAAGCGCTTCCATGCTTCCGGTGCAACCCGCAAAGAGCAGACAGCCTGTTCTGGAAAAGGGGGGTTGGAGGGGCTCCGCTAACCTGCCGGCTTCCAGAAACCCGCGTTGCTGCTCCCTGGGGCCCCCAAGAAAGCCCGGATCCCCCCTCCATACAGGGGGCCCCACCTGCAAGGGAATCTGTTGGGGGGGAAGCACGGATGGGGAAGAAATCATGCGCCAGTGGTGCAAAGGCCCCAGTGGATCCTGCCCGGGGCTGCTCCTTGCCGGCCTGCCCTCGAAACGCAGGGCCACACGCCTTCCCGTCCGCCCACGGCCTGCGCCGCTCCCGCACCTCGCTCCGCTGTAGAAGCACAGGGGGCGCAGACTGGCCCGAGCGGCCGGAACGGGAAGCACGCCAGGGCCCCCTTGGCTTCCCAGGGGAGTCCAAAGGGGCGCCTGCATCGCACAAGGGGCCTGTGATGCTCGGGGCACTTCCTGGCTTCCCAGCCGTACCTGAGGAGGACACACGCGGAAGGACCCGTGCGCGCTCTAGAGAACCGGGCTGGAAATCGCTCGGCTGAAGTAAGGCGCTCCCAAGCAAGCAAGCAAGCGAGCCGGCCCGGCAGCCTGGGGAAGGCGGGGGCGAGTGACGTACCTGAGGGGGCGCTGGGGCCGGGGCGGCTCCACCTGGATACCCAGCTCAAGAAAAGAAAGCAATATCATGGCACTGGAATGAGACTGCACAGATTCCTGCTGTTCCCGCATTGCTTTTTCTATGAAGATGCTCCTAACAGCACATTTTTAGCTATGATTTTAATTTGATATACACAAACTGCTAAGCGGTTCTGGCACATTAAGCAGTAGATGAGCGTAAAGGAAAAACACTCTGACAGAGCTGGCTGTGCCAAAGCCACGGGGCTGGGGCTGGGCCACCCAGCACCACGTGCCACGGGCACCCACAAGGGGCCCGACCCTCCCCCGCGTGCAGGTCTCTCCCCCTGCCATCCAACCAGCTTCCCACGGGGCAGTTCCCTCGGGGTTGTGCCACGGTGATTTCCAGCCCCCAGGGCCCTGCAGTCACAATCCTGCCACGCCTGCAAACGAGGCCTGCAGGTGAGGCCTCCCAAGAGGAACCCGAGTGAAACAAGAACTGTGCCTCCCGGGATGAATCTGGAGGGCTGCAGGGCCTTTTCCTGCTGGGATTGTGCACAGGATCGCACCTTCACGGCTCCTTCACGAGGCCTTTCTATGCAGCCAGGCTTGCACCTAAATTCGCACTACTGGTCTTACATTAGAAAAGATGCCTCGACCTCTGGAGCAGAGACACTCATTAACCCCCCTCCCTGCAGAGCACCTGAAGGGGGAGACGGCATACCTGGCATCTGTGCTGGTCCTCCGCCGTACATCTGGGATGGGGGCTGCGGGTAGCCGAAGCTGGGACCGCTGGGCGGCACGCCAGCCCCAGCCCCTGGGGGGACATGTACAAAGCCCAGGTGAGACTTGGACGCGGCACAGGTGAGATCCAGCCACTCGCAAACGCGGCCCTTAGATCATCGCTTCACGGAGGGAGCGACACTTCGGTCTGCCAGCATCACGGCGGGGCACTCAGCAGGGCCCCTCCTGGCCGGGGGAGCCTCGGCTCCCGGGAAAAGTAGCGGCTTGCCTGCGGCTCGTCAGGGCTCCGCTGTAGCCTGCACCTGTGCTGAGAAGATTCTGGGGCCGAGGCATTTCGGGCAGGAAGCCTCCCCCTCCATCCCTGGGAACACGTCTGTGGTGGTGCCCTGCCTGCCCCCTCAGTTCCTGGGGCCCCAAGACTGGGGGGGGGGGGCAACTTCCAAGAAGCACTCACTTTGCTACCAGTGCCTCTGAAGCACAGGCTGCCCCTCCCAGGACGACGCCTGCCGGCCATCTTCCCTCTGCTGCCTTGGAGCATCACACAGGGGGGCAGGTGGCCGCAGCAGCCTCGCTTCCCGAGGGAGGGCCAGGGGGGTGGCCACATGGCCTCTGGAGCCCCTCCACCGGGAGTGGCCTGAGCGAGCGAGTGAGCGAGCGAGCAACTTGCCACGGGGACCACCAGGACGGCCGGCTGCCCACACAGCAGAGGCCTGCCAGCCCCCCCCGGCCAACATGCATGCGCTGGAACGTCCCCCCCTCTCCTGAGGGGGTCTTGCCTTGCGCCCCTTTCGTGCCAGCGCCGGCTGCCAACGGTGCGGGGCTCCCTTCCGGGTGCAGGCGTGGCCTTCGAGCACCGAGGGGCTGCCCCCACATGGGCCCAGAGACCTGCCGGCCCACTGCACACACCAGGGGAGGCGCTTCCGAAGGCAAAGGTGCTCGCGGGGCCTGCTCCCGCCCTGCCCTCCTGCTGGGGTCCCGCCGTCTCCCCGGCACCTTTTAACTTGACCTTGTAAATTGCTATCACTGATTTCAGGGTTGCTTTTAGCATTCTGCTACATTTTTCTTGGACTGCTTCGGTTGGCTTCAGAAAAATGTATAAAATGCCCCCCCGCCCCGAAATGCAACATCAGGTGAGCAGGAGCGGATATGCTGCTCCTCATGGCCCTTTTCCTTGGAGGCTCTCTGGGTTTTCCGGCGCATGTGTGAACGTGATCAGCCTGGCCTCATCCCTCCTCGCCTTGCCCACTTCGCGACCGTCCATGCAGCGGAGAGCTCTCATGAGTGGCATCCGGCACATTACCTCCAGGATAAGCTGGCATCCCGCTGGGCTGAGGAGCCCCAGGGTATCCGGCAGGGGCAGGGGGGTACCCCCCAGGGCCAGGGGAGTACCCCGCGCTCCCCGGGAAGCCGCCGGCTGGAGGTGCAGCAGGATACACTCCCCCTCCCATCGGTGGGAATCCTCCGGGAGCAGCAGGGTAGGGGTACTGGCCCACAGGAGGATAGCTGGACTCCTGCCCTGTGGGCTGAACACAGAGGGAGCCTCGCATCAGTGCCGGCGAGGAGACGGAGCCGCCGAGCCGGTCGCGCAGTCCAGAGCACAGCCTGTCGGGCGCAAGGGCCGAGAAATGCAGCGCCTGAGGCCCCTGCTCCGGGGGCGGGCATTGGTCCCCCCCCTTCCCCTTACTGGGATGGCTTCTCCACAGACCGACCGACTGACCGCCCCTGATTCTTCGTTATACTGGGAGCAGCGTCAGGAGGCAGCAGGCACCCACGGGGCAACTCCTCTGCCGAACGGCCACCAGGAGTGGCCCGTGGAGCCACAAGCGCATCCGGCTGCACGGGGCAGGACTGAGGGAGCCGTGGGGAGAAGGGGAATGGTGGCCGCCTTGAGGGAACGTGGCGGCGCGCTCAGCCGTGGCCCCACGATCAGGGCTTGCAGCTTCTCTGGGTGCAGCAGGACGCACGAGCCCGGGGGGGCGGGAGGCAAGTCTGGGAGGGGACGCGTTTGGACCCTTTCCCTGCGGTCCTCCCTGCAGGCCTGTCCAGCAGCCCCACCAAGGGCCTGCTCAGGGCTCAGGCTTGTGTTCCTGTGCGTGCCGGGGCCTCGGGCCACCCGCCTCCCTCGAGGAACGTCCGTGCTGCCGCTCCGGCAAGCTGGTACTTACAGGATAGCCGGGGAACGTCGGGTAGCCCGAAGGCGGGTATCCCGGGTACGACATTCTGCAAGAGAAGAGAAGACCCAGGAAGTGGGCGCTGCCCAGCCGCGGCAGGGCTCCTCCTGCCCAGGATGGCGCCGGGCAAGGAAGGGGGCTTGGCTGGACAGCTGCCTGGCCGCCCCCGAGCCGCCTTGTCCTGGGTCAGGTGTTCCTGCGGCAGGCGAGCAGCCAGGGGGTGCCGGAGTCCCAGCAAGAGGAGCGGGACAGCAGCGATGGGACGCCAGGAACCCCGACTCCCTGGCTTGCTGGCCCAGCCTGGAAAACAGCAGGGCTCCCCCTGTCCTCAGCCATATGCCAGCGTCCAGCCTTACCGGACGAGACGCACAGGGCTTCGCAGCATCCCTCAACAGGGCACACGGGCAGCAGCGCAGGGCCTCCTGACCAGGAAAAGACCCTCTTTCTTCACCAGACCCACCAGCTGCCCTGGGCGGGGGCCCATCTCCCCACCTGGGGGCCAAGCATTGACTCCAGGGGTCGGTGGCCGACCAGTCCTTGCAGTTCCCTCCAGCAGCCGTGTGGCCAGCAGCTCCCAAAGCGCTCCACAAAGGGAGCAGGGATTTTGGCCAGCCTCCCAGGCCGCTGGAAGTGTCCTCGTGGGCGACATAGCCGCCTTCACTGCTTTCCAGGGAAGAGCCTGAGACTCACAAAAGTGGCAGCCGGGTCCTGAGCGCGGCTGCGGGGAGGCGCACGCTCCTCTCCACACACCTCCAAGCACAGGCCTCAGCTGCCAGCCACCGCTCGGCTCTTGGCCGCAAGACGGCACAGTGCCTCGGAGCCAGGCTGAATCGGGGCAGCACCGGCTGGCTGGCGCGACGAGCTTCGCCACTCCCGGCCCTGGTCATGAACGGCTGGCCCACAGCCCGGGCAGAGGTGGTGCCTCGGTCTTGCCCGGGGTGCCAAGGACAGAAGCCAGGGCCTTCTACACACGCGCAAGCGCCAACCGTGCCCCTTGCTGTGCAGCGCCATAGTCCCCAGCAGCCCCTCTCAAGCCTGGCAGGCCAGGGAGTGCTGGGGATTGCAGGGCATTTTCCTGCCTGAAATCGCACCCCGATCTACTCAAATTCCTGGGTGTTGATCTGCTAGAATTCTGGAAGCTGCAGCAGCTTGGCCTCTCTTGCTGCCGACTTGCCCCTTCTCTTTGATCAAAGGGGCGCAGACGGGCACCTGCAGGCCCCAAGCTGCGAAGTATGAGAAGGGGCCCATTAGAGACACGGGCTGGTCCGGGCCTTCCGACCTTCTGTTTTGCAAGGAGAGGGGAATTCATGCGATGTGTGTTTTGCTGAAGGCTGGTCTGCTGTTTCGACGGCACGCAGAGTCCCTAACCTTTGTGTGATTTAGACTGTCTCCGAGAGAAAGGGAGACCGCGCCCTCACAAGAGCAGTTACATAACGCAAGCAGGAAGCATACTGGCTCAACAGGGATTTGATTGGAGCAAAGCGTAAATAGCTTTCAAGAGAAACAGTCTAAAGTTTAAAAAAAGTCCCTAGCCACTAGAAAGGCTCAGTCTTACGTATTTATCTCAAACTTATCTGCAGTCACAACAGACCTTCTGTTCGAAAGACCTTATAAAAGCCAAAGGAGGTCCAGTGCTTTAAAAGCATCGTCTTTGCTCCCCGCTTTCCCTCTTTTTTCAGGAAGGGTTTTCCTGCAGCTGCCTGCTGGCCCTTTAACGCCGCTCAGTGTAGCAGGAGAGAGGCATTTCTGGCAGGAAATGAAACATGAACGGGTTGGGCCCACGATTCGTCCTCCTTCGGCTGTCACCACTGCATCTAAGGGACCCGCGTTAGTCACAACTAACTTAAGTCCACAGATCAGAATGGGTTTGCCAGAAGGACAACTCTGCTATCGCGCCCACAGCCGCGCCCACAGCCGCACAACTTCGAGGGAAGGCCCAGCGGTCCTTCCTGTAGCTTCTCCAGACGCTTCCCAACAGCACAAGAACGACCAGGAACTGACGACAGTCTGGATGAGTTTCAGTGCTTTTTGCTTTCTGCGACTTTGCGTCTTCATTTTTGTAAGGAACTCCATGTGCTGCTTTGTTTAGATCTGGTGTGAGTCCTTTTCACAAGGAAAAGGTATCTTGAAAGTCTTGACGGTTAACTCTCAAGAGCCTCCCACCTGGCGGCCCCAGGGGCACCCCAGAGTGCCCATCAGCAGGGCCACCGCAGTCCCGATGTGCCTGGAAGGCTGGCTAAGAGCACAGCACGCCTGCCCCCGAGCTCGCTTTTCCTCCCGGGAGGCAAGCAGGCAGGGTGCGCTTCCTCCAGGGCGCAGTTCTCGGGAGTTTCCAGACCCAGAGCGGGAGGCCGCTGGAACCGAGAGTGTGCTAATTCTGCCTGTGCCGAGGCCTCCCTGGGCATTCAGGTGGCAGCATGTGGCGCTGCCCATCAACAGCCCGCCACAAGGAGCACTGAAGTGGCCATGCAGTGAGCTGGTCCTCACACGCAGAATCCCGCACAAGGAGCAGTGAGGGTGCCGGCTGACAGCCCCGTGGCGACCTTACGGCTTTGCCTGCAGGTGGGCCGACGGGGCTGCCCGGCCCAGCAGGGTGCTAGCCTCCCTCAGCAGCCCCAGCTCACTGCAGCAGAGCGCATGTCCCCTCCCCGTGGTGGGGGCCGAGAGGACCCCTGCACCGGGCTCTGAAGCAGGCAGCCTGCTCCAAGGCTTCCCGGCACACCGCGTGGAAGGGGGCCGTGGGCCAAGGCGATGCCGACGGCCTGCCAGAGGCTGCCCTCCCCCCAGAAGGGGATCCCCTTGCTGTTGCTGCTACTGAATGCTAAGCTCAGGGACGTGGGAAATCTCAGCCGTGCCCGGGCTTGCTGCAGCAGGCCGGATCCTTGGAAGCAAAGGCTGCCAAGCCAGAATCTGCTGCAGGCTCCACAGTGGCCAGTGGCAGCTTTGCTGAGCTTGCAGCGGAGAGCAGGCAGGGCCAGGAATCGGCTCACTCGTGCCTTGTGTGGGAACCACGAAGGCCCCGGGATCCGCTGCGGACCACGTCCGCCGCACCTGCCACAGCCTCAGCCATTGGTGGCTTGCTCATGAACAGGGGCTCCCAGAGAGCCGTGCCCACCCTGTCCATAGTTTGCTCTCTAGCAAGTGGCGGCGGCACAAGAGGAAACCCGAAGCACGTTCTACAATGTGATAGATGTGCACAAGCTGTACATTAACGCCTCTCTTTGGCTTTTGCTGCCTGACTTTCAATGAAGGGAGCAGCTCTGCATATTTTCTGAAATGCTAATCTTTTCCATGAATCACAGCAAAAGTGGATTCAGCTGTTTCAAAGATTCCTTTAGGAAGCTTTGGAGCACTCTGGAGCACTTGGAATGATCATTCTTAAGATAATTTCCATTTACAAATGCCTTTTTAAAGAAAACATGCAAATAAAACAGAATAGAGGAAGCACAAAAAGCCAAATTTTACATCAAGGTACAAAAGCATAGAGTTCACAAGAAAGGAGGGGACAAGCCCACTTAGGAAAGAAGGATGGGGCGGAGAGCCTTCATCACCCCTACAGGCCCACCAGAATGAAGGACGAGAACAAATCCCAGCCATGAGCTCAGAGGATTCCCCATTTCACAACAATCCGCAAATAACGATTACCAACAGGACCTCATTCAGGCGGTTGCTTTATAGTAAAACCAATGCAGCTGCACCACGTGTGTGCTCGTCAGGAGTCCAGGCCGCCTCAGCCTGTCTCAGGGCACCATGTCCAACGGAACAAGACTTCTTCCCACACACCTGCGCAGCCGAAGCTGCCGCACAACCATCACAGGCACCCACTGGGTCTAAGTACCTCAACGGCTGCCCCAGAGAGGAAGGCCCTGTTCTCTCCTCGCTGACACTAGAGTGTGAGACACGGAATAATCAAGTCAAGCTGCAACAGCCCAGATTCCGGCTGGACATCAGGAGAAGCTTCCTCACGGTCAGAGCAATTTGACAGGGGAACCAGCTGCCTGGAGAGGTGGGGGGCTCTCCCACACTGGAGGCATCAAAACAAGACTGGGCAGCCCTCTGAGTGGGAGGGTGTGACCACATGTCCTGCAACAGCAGGGCATTGGTCCCAGTGGCTTTCTTGGCCCCTTCCAACTCTACTGTTCTATGATCCTATAGTATTAATGACTAAGATAAATATACAGCATAAAACCGCAAGTGAAGACTTTGAGGTCTCACACCAGGAAAGAGTCCGGCACAAGACACATCGGGGGCGGGGGGGGGGCAAACGAGGCATGGGGCCTGCTTGCACGCCATGGCAGCCAGCTCTGGGGAGGCCGACCCGCGGGAGTGGGGCATGGTGCCGGGGACTCGTGGCCCTCATCTTGGCATGCTGCCACGGACACCCTGCTTGCCGCCACTCGCCGCATCACATGCACGCAGGCGCGGGGGCTCCAGCGGCTCCACAGCCAGCCGTGGGTGATCCGGGGCTTCTGCCCCCACCAGCCCCTGCCGCCTGCACGCAGGCCAGGGCACACAAGCCCTCCCACGGGCCAGTGAATGCACGGGCGGCTGCCGCGTGGGGTGAACCGGGTCATTGCGCAGAGACCAAGGAGCGGGCTGCTGGGTGCCGTGGGTTTCTCCGAAACCTGAGCTGAGGAAGTGCCATGGGGGCAGCGGTGCCGTTCCGCAGATTTCAGCAGCGGCGGCAGCACCTTCCGTTGCACCAGAGGCCGTGCATCCTGCCTGTGCGGGTGGTCAGGTGATGGGTTGCACGAGAGTAACACACACACGCCGCTGCACGATGGGTGGGGCGATAGGGTGTACAAGGGCGCGTGAACAGACGCCCCTGTAGCCAGGCCCTGCGCACACACAGAGGGGAGCCTCGCGTGGATTTGCACACGTAATATCTGGCACAAAACAGTTAATACTTCACAGTCCTTGGGGCCAGACGTGAATTACTGGAAGGCAGATTTTTGTCACCTTTGGTACTTAAGATCATTAGCAGCAACAAGAAACCTGACAAATATTAAAAAATGCGATGGAGCAAAATTATCCAAACAGACCCACTACTGTGTTTACTGACGTAAGATAAAAATCTACCCTGCGAACAGCAACTGGCACGCCACGCGCCCGATCTCGGAGACGAGGAAAAAAGCCGTCAGTCAGTTTGGGGCTTGAAAGGGACGCGGCCAAGCACTGATGGCAAAAGGGGCAAGCTACGCAAGTGTGGAAACAGGAAAGGTCCTTTTCACTACCAACTGCATCTGCCAAACCAACAATGTAACACAAATAAGCAGTGCACAATCAAAACATATGCTTTTAGCATGGCAAATGAAACAAGTTGTTTCCTTTAACAAAGGAGCAAGGCTACCGAGTAACTGCATGGGGCAGTGATGTTGTGTGTGTGTGTGTGTGTGTGAGAGAGAGAGAGAGAGAGAGAGCGAGAGCGAGAGCTTCCCATCCATTTTCTGAGATTCCCCCAGCCCACCTCCCACTGGTCACCACAGCGGAGACCTCAGTTGCAAGGATATCATTTAATGATACGCCAGGCCTGTTGATGGAGCCAGAGGGGTTGGCCTCAGGCCCTTCCGCCCTCCCACCCACCCCCCTTGCCGGCTTCCTTCTTCCCCGTGCACACCAACAGTGCCGCTTCTTTTAGTAATAGCCAAGCAGAAATTTCTCCAGAAGAGGATTTTCCGGAGAGTACTTCAAACTCTCTCTCACACACTCCTGCGTAACGATGGCCAGCAAGATGCGACTGACTTGTCTCCAGTCACTTCAGCAGGTGACCCACCCCCCCGCGAGCGTGGCACATGGACAGGGGAGCCTGCGTGCCAAGAGTCGCAGCAGGGACGGTGCTGCGAGCGCCTCCTGGCAGACTTCCTGCAGGGGAGAAACTCCGAAGGCGACAGCCACCGCCTCTCACGGCCGCGACCTCTGCAGACGGTCAAGAGCCACAGCCACGCCGATGGACTCGGTGCATGAGGGGCTGCGCACGGAACGCACCGCACACGGGTCTCCACGTGGGGGTCGACACGACTCCCGCCTGAGAGCCTCGAGGAAGCCCGGGGCGGGAGACGGCTCGCAGGGCCACGCAGCTCAGAGGCTGCACAGGGCAAGTCTCTGCTGAACAGCAGTGATTCCTCCCCCATTGCGGTTTTGCTCCAGCCGGACTGGGCTGGCCCACGGGAGTGAACAGTGAGCAAAGGGTCCTGGCAGGGGCTCCCGGGGCAGGCGGGCCGATGGTCCTGAGCGGAGCGCTTCCCCCGAGGCCCGAGCACTGCTCGCCGCTCCGTCTGCCCAGCGCTCTCGCCTCGGCCGGCAGGTGAGAGGGGCAGGTTCATACCTGCGGCTTGGCCCTACTTTGCCTTTAATTTCCCATTGTGCTTCTAAAGTTTGGACGCTCTTGATGGTTGTGAGTGACTTCAGGTATTGGGGGTACAGAAACGCAGCAGGCAAGGGTCGCCGCTTGCGGGAGAACTCGTGCCACGGAGGCCAGCCCTTTCACGCACCTCCCCAGGGAACGGGTCCCCACGGAGCGCTGCTCAGGCCTCCACCCGAGCGGCTGCAGCCCGCGCGTGTGCAGGAGGCCTCCTGCCCGGCAGGCAACACCTTGTTCCCGGGAGACGCGCCGCGCCCGCCGTGCCGCGCCGCGCCGAGCCCGTCCCTCGCCCAGCCTCGCCCTCCCGGGAGGGCAGGCTCCTCCCGCCGGCGGCCGCTTCCCTCCTTTGCTATCTTATCGCACCTGCTCCCTCTTGCGAGGAACCAGGCAGCTGCTGCGGCGCTCGTGACTACCCCGGATTGCTTAAAGAGCCCCGGTCCTTTCAGTGCTGCCCGCACTGTATTTCGCGTATTGCAATCAGGCAGGCAGGCAAGTTCCCCCCAGAAAGCAGCTGTTCGAGGAAGCAGCGCCGTCCCCGGTGCCCCTCCGTGGCCTCACAAAGGCACCTGCAGACGCCGCCGCGGGCCACCCCCGGCTCTCGGCTGGCTGCCCAGGCGGAGAGGTGAGGGGGCACACGGGGGCGCGCGAGGAGAACCGCGGGGCGCGCGCGTGCGGGGCCGGGAGCAAACCCAGGCCCGCGGGCAACACACTCCTGGCGCCGGGCTGCCTGCCTGCCGTGCAGAAACGCGCGAGAAACACCGCGGGCGCGCACGGCTGGGCCGGGCCGGGCCGCTTCCGAGGCGCGTCGGTTTCGCCGGAGCCGCTTCGCTAGCCCGCTTCCGCATTCATGGGTGGATTTTAGAAACTCCCTACGGAGCGCGTGAAGGAAGCACATTTTCGCAACGCGTGGCAGAAGTTCCCACATCCCTGAAGCGGCTTAACTTCCAACGCGCGCCTCCGGGCTGCGCACCCGCCTCCGGGCGCCGCCGCGCGCGATCCCCGCGGGCTTGGCCGCGCCCTCGGCCCCCGCGGCCCGGGCAGGGCTGGCCGCTGCGGGGCGGGGGCGGGCGG